ACTTAATAACGAAGTGATCACTGAAGAAATCAAAGAGGAAATCAAAAAATACCTAGAAACAAATGACGATGAAAACACGAAGACACAAAACCTATGGGATGCAGTAAAAGCAGTTCTAAGAGGGAAGTTTATAGCAATACAGTCCTACCTTAAGACACAAGAAACATCTCAAATAAACAACCTAACCTTACACCTAAAGCAATTAGAGAAAGAAGAAAAAAAAAACCCGAAGTTAGAAGAAGGAAAGAAATCATAAAGATCAGATCCGAAATAAATGAAAAAGAAATGAAGGAAACGTTAGCAAAGGTCAATAAAACTACAAGTTGGTTCTTTGAGAAGAGAAACAAAATTGATAAACCATTAGCCAGACTCACCAAGAAAAAAAGGGAGAAGACTCAAATCAAGAGAATTAGAAATCAAAAAGAAGTAACAACTGACACTGCAGAAATACAAAGGATCATGAGAGATTACTGCAAGCAACTGTATGCCAATAAAATGGACAATCTGGAAGAAATGGACAAATTCTTAGAAAAGCACAACGTTCTGAGACTGAACCAGGAAGACATAGAAAGTATAAACAGACCAATCACAAGCACTGAAACTGAGACTGTGATTAAAAATCTTCCAACAAACAAAAGCCTAGGACCAGATGGCTTCACAGGCGAATTCTATCAAACATTTAGAGAAGAGCTAACACCTATCCTTCTCAAACTCTTCCAAAATATAGCAGAGGGAGGAACACTCCCAAACTCATTCTACAAGGCCACCATCACCCTGATACCAAAACCAGACAAAGATGTCACAAAGAAAGAAAACTACAGGCCAATATCACTGATGAACATAGATGCAAAAATCCTCAACAAAATACTAGCAAACGGAATCCAACAGCACATTAAAAGGATCATACACCATGATCAAGTGGGGTTTATCCCAGGAATGCAAAGATTCTTCAATATACGCAAATCAATCAATGTGATACACCATATTAACAAATTGAAGGAGAAAAACCATATGATCATCTCAATAGATGCAGAGAAAGCTTTCGATAAAATTCAACACCCATTTATGATAAAAACCCTCCAGAAAGTAGACATAGAAGGAGCTTACCTGAACATAATAAAGGACATATGTGACAAACCCATAGCCAACATCGTTCTCAATGGTGAAAAACTGAAACCATTTCCACTAAGATTAGGAGCAAGACACGGTTGCCCACTCTCACCACTCTTATTCAACATAGATTGGGAAGTTTTAGCCACAGCAATTAGAGAAGAAAAAGAAATAAAAGGAATACAAATCGGAAAAGAAGAAGTAAGGCTGTCACTGTTTGCAGATGACATGATACTACACATAGAGGATCCTAAAGATGCTACCAGAAAACTACTAGAGCTAATCAATGAATTTGGTAAAGTAGCAGGATACAAAATTAATGCACAGAAATCTCTTGCATTCCTATACACTAATGATGAAAAATCTGAAAGTGCAATTAAGAAAACACTCCCTTTTACCCTTGGAACAAAAAGAATAAAATATCTAGGAATAAACCTACCTAAGGAGACAAAAGACATGCATGCAGAAAACTGTAAGACACTGATGAAAGAAATTAAAGATTATACAAACAGAGGGACAGATATACCATGTTCGTGGATTGGAAGAATCAACATTGTGAAAATGACTATACTACCCAGAGCAATCTACAGATTCAGTGCAATCCCTATCAAACAACCAATGACATTTTTCACAGAACTAGAACAAAAAATTTCACAGTTTGTATGGAAACGCAAAAGACCCCGAATAGCCAAAGCAATCTTGAGAAAGAAAAACGGAGCTGGAAGAATCAGGCTCCCTGACTTCAGAGTATACTACAATGCTACAGTAATCAAGACAGTATGGTATTGGCACAAAAACAGAAATATAGGTCAATGGGACAGGATAGAAATCCCAGAGATAAACCCACGCATATATGGTCACCTTATCTTTCATAAAGGAGGCAAGAATATACAGTGGAGAAAAGACAGCCTCTTCAATAAGTGGTGCTGGGAAAACTGGACAGCTACATGTAAAAGAATGTAATTAGAACACTCCCTAACACCATACACAAAAATAAACTCAAAATGGATTAAAGACCTAAATGTAAGGCCAGACACTATCAAACTCTTAGAGGAAAGCATAGGAGAACATTCTATGACATAAATCACAGCAAGATCCTTTCTGACCCACGTCCTAGAGAAATGGTAATAAAAACAAAAATAAACAAATAGGACCTAATGAAACTCAAAAGCTTTTGCACAGCAAAGGAAACCATAAACAAGACGAAAAGACAACCCTCAGAATGGGAGAAAATATTTACAAATGAAGCAACTGACAGAGGATTAATCTCCAAAATTTACAAGCAGTTTATGCAGCTCAATATCAGAAAAACAAACAACCCAATCCAAAAATGGGCAGAAGACCTAAATAGACATTTCTCCAAAGAAGATGTACAGATTGTCAACAAACACATGAAAGAATGCTGAACATCATTAATCATTAGAGAAATGCTAATCAAAGCCACAATGAGATATCATCTCACACTGGTCAGAATGGCCATCCTCAAAAAATCTACAAACTATATGCTGGAGAGGGTGTAGAGAAAAGGGAACCCTCTTGCACTGTTGGTGGGAATGTAAATTGATACAGCCACTGTGGAGAACAGTATGGAAGTTCCTTAAAAAACTAAAAATAGAACTACCATATGACCCAGCAATCCCACTACTGGGCATATACCCTGAGAAAACCGTAATTCAAAAAGAAGATTCATGTACCACAATGTTCATTGTAGCTCTGTTTATAATAGCCAGGACATGGAAGCAACCTAAGTGTCCATCAACAGATGAATGGATAAAGAAGATGTGGCACATATATACAATGGAATATTACTCAGCCATATAAAGAAACGAAATTGAGTCATTTGTAGTGAGGTGGATGGACCTAGAGTCTGTCATACAGAGTGAAGTAAGTCAGAAAGAGAAAAACAAATACTGTATGCTAATACATATATATGGAATCTACAAAACAAAAAAAAAGTGGCCATGAACCTAGGGGCAAGACTGGAATAAAGACGCATACCTACTAGAGAATGGACTTGAGGATAGGGGGAGGGGGAAGGTAAGCTGGGACAAAGTGAGAGAGTGGCATGAACATACATACACTACCAAATGTAAAATAGATAGCTGGTGGGAAGCAGCTGCATAGCTCAGGGAGATTAGCTCAGTGCTTTGTGAGCACCTAGAGGGGTGGGATAGGGAGGGTGGGAGGGAGGGAGACACAAGAGGGAGGAGATATGGGGATATATGTATATGTATAACTGATTCACTTTGTTATAAAGCAGAAACTAACACCATTGTAAAGCAGTTATACTCCAATAAAGATGTTTAAAAAAAAAGAACATGTGGTATGTATACATAGAATGGAGTGCTACGCAGCCATAAAAAATGAAATGTTGCCATTTAAAACAACATGGATGGACTTGGAGGGTATTATGCTAAGTGAAATAAGTCAGACAGAGAAAGACAAATACTGTATGATGTCACTTATATGTCGAATCTAAAAAATAAAACAAACTAGTGAATGTAACAAGAAAGAAACAGACTCATAGATATAGGGAACAAACCAGTGGTTACCAATTGGTAGAGGGAAGGGGGAGGGGCAGTATAAGAGTAGGGGATTAAGAGGTACAACTTATGTATAAAGTAAGCTACAGGATATATTGTGTACATACAGCACAGGGAATATAGCCAATATTTTATGGAGTATAACTTTTAAAAATTTTGAATCACTGTAGTGTATATCCATATTTTACATAACATTGTGTGTCAAGTATACTTCAATAAAAAATTTTTCTGGTGAAAAAAAATTTTAAACCTAAGCAGGTATAAGATGTTAGAAACAGATTGTTTTACATAATGAACATTTACTTTTTATTATTTGAGAACAGAAGATGGACAAGTAGAGATAGTGAGTGGAGACTTAACTTTGAGAAGCTTGGCTCTGGAGGGGAGATAGAAAATGGGAGTTAGAAGCAAAGCAATTAAAAAAGAAAAAAGTGTATAGTAGGAGAAATACAAAGATGTCTGGACTACAGGGAAGAAACCAATAGAGATAAAGATTTTAGCAGGGGGATTTCTGCAGTAACTAACTCCTGTAGCTGTAATACGTCTCCGGTCAAAAATGTATTAGGTATCTGTGGCAGTGTATCATTTTCTTTAGGTTGTTGTAAATGTTGTAAATAGTTTGGGGCTTCCCTGGTGGCGCAGTGGTTAAGAATCTGCCTGCCAATTCAGGGGACACGGGTTCCAGCCCTGGTGCGGGAAGATCCCACATGCCACGGAGCAACTAAGCCCGCAAGCCACAACTACTGAGCCTGCGCTCCAGAGCCCCCCGAGCCACGACTACTGAAGCCCGCGCACGTAGAGCCTGTGCTCCGCAACAAGAGAAGCCACCGCAATGAGAAGCCCACACACCACAACAAAGAGAACCCCCGCTCGCCACAGCTAGAGAAAGCCCGTGCGCAGCAACTAAGACCCAACACAGCCAAAAATAAATAAATAAATTTATAAAAAAAAATAGTTTGGAGACTGTTAGAAGTCTCAGACCCAGATAATATCGCCTTTCATAAAAACTCTTCCAGCTCATTTGTCTTTGACTAGGCAGAGAGGGAGAAAGAGCTAAAGGAGAGTGAGAATTGGGGGATGGCAGAAAAGATGAAGAGAGAGAAGCTACCTTATGAACTATGAGGACATTAGTCACTGAGGTTCTTAGCCTTGGGAGAGTATCATGACATCCAGTCATATAAATTCCTAATACCAATTTCTTTATCTTTTTCCCTAGGTTGGGGTTATGGCCAGTACTATGTTAAACTAGATGTTTAGTAATGATAATAAATTTGTATTGTTACAGATGATGATCATAGTTTTCAAAGCATTAAGTTTATTATTCAATAAATATTTTTTGCATTTAAGGGAGGAAAAGACTGAACAGTTGTTGGACTGTAAACAAGAACTTGAGCAAATGGAAATAGAACTAAAAAGACTGCAACAAGAGGTTTGTACCTGGAACTTTTATTATATAGGATCAATTGGAAATTGATTTTTCTCCTTATAATATATAACATTTGCCTTACTGCTTCCTGAGGTTTCATGAGATCCAATGACTTTTTCAGTGTTTCTCTCTTCAAAAGTGCCACAACCAAAATTAGAAATCAAAACTAGAAAGGTCTTTGGAGTTTTCTTTTTTCTCTATTAGTTCTATTCAAACTTTGCTAAGATTCCAAGGAGACTCTTAGGACTGGCCCAGTTCCATGTTTCTCTTTTTTATGTATTGGCTTCTGTGGGCTTGGAAGCTGGAACACCTCTAGGTCTCTGCTGTCTGATGGTGCTTTATGTTAACCTTATATATGACAGAATGCTTTTTAATTTTTCACTGTTTCTACTAAATAAGATCCAAACTTTTACTTTTTTAAATACTATTTTTATTTTTCTAATGCTTTGTGTTTTTTCATCTTGAACCAAGACTGTTTAAGAATTTGCTTCTTTTAATTACTCTGTAATGTTTCGTTTTCATTTAGAGGTAGTACAAGAGGTCTTCTTTAACCCATAAATGGTAAGGATTGGGGTAAGGCTGGATAATTATTTCTTTTCCTTACTTCACCTAACCTGCCATTTTAAATTCAGGGAACATTTCACTTGTGGAATCATAAACTGGGAACTTTCTAGATGAATGAATCTAGGGATCATAATTTTTAGTTTTAGGTTTGCTGTTGCTGCTATTCCACTTCTTGGTAGCAGGGTTTTTTTGTATTTGTGTTCCATCTAAAATTGTGGTTCTCAATCTTTCTGGTTCCAAGACCCTTCTTTACTCTTGAAGATTAAAGAGGATTATTTAATGTGTATTCTCTTTACTGGAATTTACTATATTTGAAATCAAAACTAAGAATTTTCAAAGTATTTATTAATTCATTTAAAAATAATACTCAATCCACTCCATGTTAACATAAAAATTATATAGTAATTAACCATTATTTTCCAAAACAAAAAAAAATTAGAAGAATAGTAGTCTTTTATATTTTTGGCAAGTCTTTAAATGCCTGGATTAATTGAAGACTACCAGATTCTCATATCTATTGAATATTTCTGCATTCAATCTGTTAAGATATCACATGCCATGTATGTAGCCTCTGGAAAACTCCACTGTCCCTTCATGAGAGAATGAGAGTGAAAACAACAAGTACTGTCTTAGTATTATTATGAAAATAGTTTTGACCTCATGAATTCCCTGGAAGGGTTTCAGGGACCCACAGATTTCCCTGGATCGCACCTTGATTACCGCTACTCAAAGGATTACAAGAGGGCTTTAAAAAGGTTGAATTTTAATACTTATTTCAAATGGCGTAAAGATATGCACTAATCATATGCAAGTAATCATTCATGTGAAAGTATTAGAAACTCAGCATGGGCTTCCCTGGTGGCGCTGTGGTTGAGAGTCCGCCTGCCGATGCAGAGGACACGGATTCGTGCCCCGGTCCGGGAAGATCCCACATGCCGCGGAGCGGCTAGACCCGTGAGCCATGGCCGCTGAGCCTGCGCGTCTGGAGCCTGCGCTCCGCAGCGGGAGAGGCCGCAACAATGAAAGGCCCGCGTACCGGAAAAACAAACAAACAAACAAACAAAAAACTCAGCACGATTTTGGTAACATGTCTGGATAGAAACATTATTTCTCTAAAGTAACTAATGATCAACTTTTGTAAGAGTTTGCCTCTTTTGTGTTTTTACTATCTGGCATTTTAAAGTTAACTTTTCCCCTTAAATTCATTGCAAATGGTTATGTTGAGGAGAGGTTTACTTACTTTAAAATATTCTGAATATTTTTTACATTCTTAATGGAGAACATTATATATAAAAGTTTTTATACAGCATATGCTTTTATTTTTGTATAGAAACATACATTTTTTTAATTTTATTATTTTTTTTAATATTCATTTATTTATTTAGCTGCACTGAGTATTAGTTGTGTCATGCAGGATCTTCATTGCCATGTGCAGGATCTTCATTGCTGCATTTGGGATCTTTAGTTGCAGCATGCGAACTCTTAGTTGCAGCATGTGGGATCTAGTTCTCTGACCAGGGATCAAACCCACTCCCCCTCCATTGGGAGCATGGAGTCTTAGCCACTGGACCACCAGGGAAGTCCCTAGAAACATATATGTTTAAAATGCATATTCTCGGTTTTAAAAAAGGCTTTTTTATCTCCCCATTTAAAAAAAATAATTAAGGTGTAATTTATATACCACTGAATTTACACTTTTCGCAGTCCATCGCCTTAACCACTTGGCCTCATCGTCCCACAAAAATCGCACTTTTAAAGTACACAAGTCAGGGACTTCCCTGGTGGCGCAGTGGATAAGACTCTGCGCTCCCAGTGCAGGGGGCCTGGGTTCAATCCCTGGTCAGGGAACTAGATCCCACACGCATGCCGCAACAGTTTGCATGCCACAGCTAAGGACCTCATGTGCCGTAACTAAGGAGCTGGTGAAATGCAACTAAGGAGCCCGCCTCCCACAATGAAGACCCGGTGCAAATAAATAAATAATTTTAAAATAATAATAATAAAGTACACAAGTCAGGGACTTCCCTGGTAGTCCAGTGGTTAAGACTCTGGGCCTTCCAATGCAGGGGACATGGGTTTGATCTCTGGTCAGGGAGCTAAGATCCTACATGCCACAGGGCGTGGCCAAAAAAAAAGTACACAAGTCATTGTTTTTTTGTGTGTTTTTTTGGTAAATTCTTCAAATTGTACAACCCAAGGATTATCAATTTGAAAATAGAAAATAATATTTTAAATATTAATATGTGTTTATATTTAGAACATGAATTTGCTTTCGGATGCTCGTTCTGCAAGAATGTATCGAGATGAATTAGATGCGCTTCGGGAGAAGGCTGTCAGAGTTGATAAGCTTGAAAGTGAAGTTAGCAGATACAAAGAGAGGCTACATGATATTGAATTTTATAAGGCAAGAGTTGAGGTATGTTACGTAATTTAAACCATTCACAGTTCTTTTCTTTAGAAGTATTATGATTTTTCAAAATGCATTTAAAATGCACTTTAATAAATGTAAGGAACTCTGGAAACATTGAGCAAACTGTAAATAGCATCAGGTGTTTATTTTATGATAGATTAGCATATTGTTTAGACTTGTAAAAAGGGATTTTTGGATGCTATTCATTTTATTGAATTCTTTGGGGCTCTTCTTTCATTCCTTCATTTAGTATTACATGTAGTGAACACTTTTGAAATCACAATAAAGTATATATCTCTACTAATTTCTAACTCGTTCCTAGAAGTGAGTGCGAAACACATTTCTGATTGCTGCTCAACTCAGAATACTAAATTAGGATCAATGAAGGGGAAATCAATATCTGTCTCCCTCTCTCTCTCTCTCTCTCTCTCTCTCTTCTCTCCCACCCCCATTTGTCTTCTCTCTTTATATATATGTATGAACAAAGTAGAAAAAACAATTTTTCTTAGTTAATGGTTGCAGTTCTGTGTTACATGATGTTGAGTTTCACAGCAAGAATCTGAAAATCCTTGCTTCTTGGCATTCTTTTTTCCTTTCTCCATGATTTCTTCATTGTCTGTAAACAGAGGAGATTTTGGTCAGTTTTAATATGGGGATAAGAAAGAAGGAGTATGCTAAATCAGGAAATGAAAACATTATAAGAGAAAGTTAGAACTTAGCCTGAATGTTACCAGAAAATAGACCCATAGAGTGCAAAGATAAGGTGTATATTTGTTCTTTGTCAATTGTTTAAATAGGCGTATGCATGGCACTATTAAGGGATCCTCATGGATGCCACTGTTTTAATATACTTTCTCTTGACTTCAGCTTATAAACTGTAGGCTTAAACTTAGCAATGTAGATTTGTGAACATGTCTTCAAAACATACGTAGGAGTTTAAAGATGTTTATGTAAAATACTTATTGATAAAGCCTTGGTTTATGATTCTGTGAGTCTTAATTCAAGTCTTGGTATTTTACTCAAAAACCCCAAATTCTTCACTTTCAAGTAGAGAGAAACCTAAATCTATTTCAGTAAATAAATTAAGCCCTGATTCTATGGCGATTGGTGTCTTAAATATCTGGAAGACTGCTTACACTGAGTTCCTTATCCTTGTGACTAAGGAATTTAAATATACCCTGACAATTTCATGTGAAATTATAGTAGTATTATTCATCCTAATGTAAGTCCTGAGTATTTTGTTTATATAATAACTTAAATTCTGGGAAATAAAATGAAACCAACTATGTTTCTGTTACTCAGTAGCTTTACTCTTGCATAGAACTGTTGATAAAGACCGCTTAATGTCTTACTTTATAATAAAGAATTTTTATGTTTCAGAGCTTTAAAGATTAACATATTAATGTATTTGTGACAAATAAAGCCTACTTGAAACGTTTACAGGAATTAAAAGAAGACAATCAAGTTTTATTAGAAACAAAAACCATGTTGGAAGACCAATTAGAAGGAACTCGAGCTCGTTCTGATAAATTACATGAATTAGAAAAAGAAAATTTACAACTGAAGGCTAAACTGCATGATATGGAAATGGTACGTATTATAAGATAGATTTATTACATGGCCTGTAAGTAAAAATTCTAAGATTTATCTGACTTCCCTATAGTGACAAGGTTGGTTAGTGTCCTTAAGGCCTTAACAGAGAAGAGATAGCTAAATAAATGAGATGCTTCCAATTTCATATGAATTCAGAAGCAGTAGAAATTTCCGCTCTTGTTACAGAGGGGTATTATTTATTAATTTTGACTACTGCTTTTCAGAAAACCCTAATAAGCCGTTGTGCAGACACTCCTTTAGAATATAGAAATACAACTATTTGCTAAAATTTATCATTGGGTCAGAAATCATTTGTTATATCATTAAAACAATATAATGACTATGAAGAGGTGTTTTCAGTGTCCCCAAAGATCACTATAAAAAGATGTCAGAGACCTGATCAGTTTAGTGACTGGCAGTAATAATTATAATTGATTACTAGCTTCAAATTGTGAAAATTTTAAGGAACTCACAATTTATCTCATTATACAGTTTCTGATAAATGAAAGTTATAAGTAATAAAATATTAGCTTGAAATTGTACTGTTTCTTAGCTTTCTTTTCTCTCCCTACTCCCTGCCAATAAAAAAGGAGCGTGATATGGATAGAAAAAAGATTGAAGAATTAATGGAAGAAAATATGACTTTGGAAATGGCACAGAAACAAAGTATGGACGAATCATTACATCTTGGCTGGGAGCTGGAACAAATATCCAGAACTAGTGAACTTTCTGAAGGTATTTCCAATACTCTTTTTTTATTTAAATGGATGAATGAATAAATGAAATTGTATTTATACTTACATTTCTGGATATTTCATTGCTGTTCTTTATTTTCCCTGGTTGGAGATGTCGCAAAAGGCCACATATCTCTCTAGATAGAATTTCACAGAGTAATGTGTTAATTTCCATATGCCTGGGTCTGGTCCTTATCTTTGCATGTCTTACAACTCAACTTTGAGTGCAGTAGCAGATTCGATCAGTTAGGCACAATTTCATGTTCATATCACAATAAACTGGGATATCAGTTTATTAATTTATTTTGAGAGATACAGCCATCTACTAAATAGAAAAGAAAAGTCATTAGCTGGTCACCATGTTCTTTGACTTTTGGCAAACCTAAATAGGAAATCAGAATGCAGTGGGAATATTCTTTGGTGAATATGTAGCCAGAATAAAGCAAGTTAAGGATCTTTATGGCTACTTTCATCAGTATGTTGGATTTTGGGATTATACCTACCATTTATACCCTGGAGGTAATGAAAGACCCCAGATAAATTTTTAACTTTTGGCTCTATTTCCCTAGGCTCCACATTAACTTGTCCTCTTTATTAAAGCTGGGGCACACACATACAATGTAGCTTTTTGTGTTAAAGCTTTGAGTTTGCTAATACTGCTATACAATACTTTATTGAAATTATACCCAAGTCACATTTATTTGAATTAGACTCGTTCCCTAATTCCTTAGTTACCCAGTATTTAGATTATTATACCTGTTTTTCTTCCTTCAGCAGATATGTATTAAGCACCTACCATGTGTAAAATATTATACCAGGCCCTGAGGATATAGTGGTGAGGTAGACATAAGGTCTGAAAGAGCTTATAACCTGGCGCTTAAAGAGGTTACTTCTACAGATGACTCATCATATTTATTACTATTAGGCTTTTCCTAATTTTACTCTTGAGAACCTAATTCCGGATTCTGGCACCCCATGTAAATTGACTTCATAGTAAGTGATTATGTTCAGCTGAGAATGAATTTGCTGGGATGTGTTACTTAAAATATTTGTGGAACTTTTTTACTGTATTCCATGTGAATTGAGTTACAAAGAAAACAATTCAGACTTAAATGTTTTGTACTACAACAGTTAAAATTACACTGTTAGGAGTTTTCTCACCTGTTAAGTGGGGATAATAATAGTAAGTACTATCTTACAGGGTTGTTGTGAGGGTTGAATTTGTTAATGAAGCCCTTTAGAACTGTGCCTAGTAAATAGTAAGCATTTGAGTGTTTTTTATTATTATTGTCATTATATCACAGTTGTTTTGCAGGGGTCATAGAACATAAAATTCATTTAGTGTGGCATACTTTTTTTTTTAACTTTACAAGGGACTTTCTAGAAAATTTGCAAACTCTGGAAAAAGATAAAGAAGGAAATCAAGGTCACTAATAATTCTTGCCTTTTACATTTCACAAAATTTGCTTCTAGAATTTTCCTACACAGGGTTATTTTTTATATCATCAGATCAGTGTGTATATACAATTAAGATTCCTTTTTTCATCTAAGAATATAACGTAGACAATCTTCCATGTTAAAAATGTGTCGTTAAGTATCCTTTTAAAGTCTTTGTAGTCTGACTGGAAGCTTCTTCAAAGCATGTAGTATTGAAAGCTTTATTAAGGCATATGTTTTGTAGCCTGATCTTGTTTAATTGAAATGCATGACCTCAAATCATGCAATTAGAGTTGTACTTAAGAAGACTTGGACAACTAATGGAATTTATAAAAAGTCAATGACTACCTAGTATACTAGCTTTTAATAAAAGATTAACAATGTGCTGACTAGAACAAAAGCTTGAAATAAGAATTGAGGCTTTCTTTACTTAAAATCTAGGAGATATTTTACTCTACCTCATTTTTAAAAGAATGTGTGACTTGTGTGGCTACATGTTTGTGTGTGTGTGTTTCTTTGCTTTTTATAATGGAGGATTTCAAATGTACGCAAAAGTAGACAGACCCAGAAGTTCCCTCCTGTATATCTGTTTATTTCCCTTCCTAAAGTCTAGGATTTCAAAATAAATTCTAAGTGTCATATTTCATTTGTAAATCCTAATATTTTTATATCATCAAAATATGTAATGAGTCTGTTATAGGGTTATTAAAAATAATTATTTTTGGCTTACTGGAGAGCATCATTTACAGAAGTCGAAACTCAGTTTTCTTATTTTAAAAAATAGAATGCTGAAAGCTACTTAGAAAGATGATTTCTGTTGGCAGAATGGACTGCATGTTGCTGTTTATACGTAATTAGCCGGGATTCTTCATTTAGAGAAAGACTTTTTCGAAGTGACCAGTGTATAGTACTGTCTTGCCTTTCTCAGAATCAGATTAGGATTTTTTTCCCCCTCAAACTGTTTTCCTTTATCTTTGAAAGTGTGACGTAGGATATGCTTTATACTTCTTATTTGAGTCACACGGTGACTCTATTAGATACACAGGGTAATAACTATATTTTGTCAAAGTAACCTAAGAGTCATTGAGGTTAAAGTTAATTTCTCATGGAACTGGAACTGAAAGTCTAGTCACTTCAGTCTAAATTTTGTACTTTTTCTTTCACTAGAATGCTTATGGATGCATTAGAAATTCAATATTTACCTGTATTTTATATCTCTTTTCTTACTGTGTCTATCTTGCATAACTTTATAAATTTTTTATAAAGTTAAGGACCGGGTGATTTAGTGTATTTACACTAAATATTTTAAATAGTGAAGAGTAAACATAGTTTTACCAGTGACGTATTTTTCAATATTATAGCACCACAGAAATCCTTGGGCCATGAGGTAAATGAATTGACATCAAGTAGGTTGTTGAAGTTGGAGATGGAAAATCAGAGTTTGACAAAAACTGTAGAAGAGCTTCGGAGTACTATGGATTCTGCAGAAGGCACCACTTCCAAAATCCTGAAAATTGAAAAAGAAAATCAAAGACTAAGTAAGAAGGTAAATAAAAATTAATATTTAATGTAATGTAAAAAAGTATATGTAAAAGTATAAATAAATAGCACTGAGATAGAACATTTATTTTCCAACTTTTAGTGTACCCTCAATATTATTTTAACTTATTATATAAAATTTCAAACTTACATAAATGTGAAGTGAATGAACTCATTCAGCTCTAGACTCATTCATTCAGCTTCAATTATTATTAACTTATAGCCAGTCTTACTTCTACCCTTGATACTCTCCTAACAGCCACTAGATGATTTTGAAGTAAATCCTAGATGTCGTACTATTTCACCAATAAATATCTCAGTATAAATCTCTAAAAAGTAAGGAATTTTTTTTAAAAAAGAACAGTGACATTATCACACTTAAAAGATCATAGTTTTGGGCCAGCATTTAAATTTTTCCAAATCTATTAAGATTTTTAAAAAATATTTTATTTGAATATGAATCCAAATAAGATCAGTACATTCAATCAGTTGATGGGTCCCTTAAGTCTTTTTTAGTCTATAGATTGACTCTTCTTTCCTAGCAATTTTTCTATTGAAGAAACCTCAAACAGGGGACATATGTCTGGTTGTCTCTCTTTCTGTGATGTTAGTTGTCATAGAAAATCATTTGCTTAGATCCCTGAATTAATCAGAGGTTACAAAATCTTGATATTATATCATCCCTTCTTAATTTGGTAGCTGGAGTATTTCTATAAGAAAAAACTTTTCTTTTTAAAAACTATTGGTTTAAAAAAAAAAAACACCACTGGTTACTCTGAGAACAGCTCTTAGGGGTAAAGTAGGATGAATGTTTCATTCTTTACCTTTATTTACCAGTTTCCTAGTAATGAATCAGTTCTCTCATATCCTCCTGAGATAGTTAATGAGTGAGTTTGTTGTTTGTTTTAGTGTTGTTATGAACTCATGGATTTAAAAATATGTAAAGCATTTTAATACACTGTATTTATTTTTCTTACTCTCCCAACTCTTTAAGCTGCTTCCTGAATCCTTATGACATGACCTTAGCACTCCTGGAGAGCTTCCTTGCTTTCTACCACGACAAAGTGTTCTCTTAAACATTTCCTGCCTCAGTCCTAAAAACAGCCATTTCTCCAAAAAGCGCTTGTTCCTTTTAGTGGGAAGTGGTATTTAGAGACCACAATTTAGGGATTATGAAACCTGAATTTTAACTAGACTTTGAAAAGAAATACAAGTGTACCCTTTTTTTATTGCATTTTACTTCACTTCACAGATAATTGTGGTTTTTACAGCTTGAAAGTTTAGGCAACCCTGCTTCAGACAAATCTATCAGAACCATTTTTCTAACAGCATTTGCTTATTACTTCGTGTCTCTGTGTCACATTTTGGTAATTTTCACAATATTCAAACTCTTTCATTGTTATTGTATTTGTTATGGTGATGTCTAATCAGTGATCTTTGATGTTAGTATTATAATTGTCTGGGGGCGCCACAGACTGCACCCATGTAAGATAGTGAACTTAACCCATAAATGGTGTGTGTGTTCTGACTTCTCCACTGACTGGTGAGTCCCCCGTCTCTCTTCTTCTCCTTGGCCCTCCATATTCCCTGAGACAAACAATATTGAAATTAGGCCAGTTAATAACCTACAGTGGCCTCTGTGTTCAAGTGAAAGGAAGTGTTGCACGTCTCTCACTTTAAATCAAAAGCTAGAAATGATTAAGCTTAGTGAAGAAGGCGTGTTGAAAGCCAAGACAGGCTGAGAGATAGGCCTCCTGCACCAGTTAGCCAAGTTGTGCATTCAAAGAAAAAGTTCTTGAAGGGAATTAAAAGTGCTACTCCAGTGAATATATGAATGATAAGAAAGTGAAAGAGCATTATTGCTGATATGGAGAAAGTTTTAGTAGTCTGGATAGAAGACATGCCAGCCACAAAATTCCCTTAAGCCAAAGCCTAATCCAGAGCAATGCCCTGTCTTTGATTCTTTGAAGGCTGAGAGAGGTGAGGAAGCTTCAGAAGAAAAGTTTGAACCTTGCAGAGGTTGGTTTGTGAGATTGAAGGAAAGAAGCTGTCTACATAACATAAAAGTACAACAGGAAGCAGCAAGTGCTGATGTAGAAGCTGTATTTAATTATCCAGAATATCTAGTTAATATAATTAATTAAGGTGGCTACACTAAACAGTGGATTTTCAGCGTAGTCACAACAGCCTTCTATTGGAAGAAGATGCCGTCTAAGACTTCCATAGCTAGAGAGGGTAAGTCAGTGCCAAGGTTCAAAGCTTCAGAGAACAGCCTGACTCTCTTGGTAAGGGGCTAATGCAGCTGGTGGCTTGAAATTGAAGTCAGTGCTCATTTACCATTCCAGAAATCCTAGGGCCCTTAAGAATTCTGCTTAATCTACTTTCCCTGTGCTCTCTCAGTGGAACAACAAAGGCTGGGTGACAGCACATCTGTTTATAATATGATTTACTGACTATTCTGAGCCCACTTTTGAGACCTTACTGCTCAAACAAAAATTTCTTTCAAAATACTGCCGATCATTGACAATGCACCTGTTCACCTAAGAGCTCTGGTGTAGACTTAAAATGAGATTCATGTTTTCATGCCCACTAAGACAACATCCATTCTGCCACACATGGATCAAGGAGTAAGTTCGACTTTCAAGTCTTATTCTTTAAGAAATATATTTTGTAAGGCTATAGGTGCCATAGAAGGTGATTCCTCTGATGGATCTGGGCAAAGTCAATTGAAAACATTCTGGAAAGGATTCACCATTCTAGATGCCATTAAGAACATTTGCGATTCATGGGAAGAGGTCAAAGTAACAACATTAATAGGAGTTTGAAAGAAGTTGATTCTGACCCTCATGGATGACTTGGAGGGGTTCAGGACTTCAGTGGAGGAAGTTTTGCAGATGTGGAGGAAATAGCAAGAGAACCAGAATCAGAAATGGAGCCTGAAGATGTGACTGAATTGCTGCACTCTCATGATAGAACTTTAATAGATTAGGAGTTGCTTCTTATGTGTTAGCAAAGAAAGTGGTTTCTTGAGATGGAATCTACTGGTGAAGATGCTGTGAAGATAGTTGAAATGATAACAAAGGACTTAGAATATTACATAAAGTTGATAAAGCAGTGGCAATGTTTAAGAGAAGTGACTCCAATTTTGAAAAATATTCTGATGCATGCTACAGAGAAATCATTCATGAAAGGAAGAGTCAATCAATGCATAAGAAATTGCAGTCACCCAACCTTCAGCAACTACTACGCTGGTCAGTCAGCAACCATCAACGACTAGGCAAGACCCTTCACCAGCAAAAAGATTATGATTTGCTGAAGGCTCAGATGATGGTTAACATTTTTAGCAGTAAAGTATTTGAAGGTGTGTACATTGGTTTTTTAGACATAATGTTATTGCACACTTAATAAACTACAGTGTAGTGTAAACACAGCTTTTATATGCACTGGGAAACCGTAAAATTCATGTGACTCTTTTTTTTTTTTTTTTTTGCGGTACGCGGGCCTCTCACTGTTGTGGCCTCTCCCGTTGCGGAGCACAGGCTCAGCGGCCATGGCTCACGGGCCCAGCCGCTCCGCGGCATGTGGGATCTTCCCGGACCGGGGCACGAACCCGTGTCCTCTGCATCAGCAGGCGGACTCTCAACCACTGTGCCACCAGGGAAGCCCTCATGTGACTCATTTAATTGCGGTATTTGCTTTATTGCAGTGGTCTGGATCCAAACCTGCAATATCTCTAAGATATTCTGTTTTCCAATTGTGGGACAGTTAGACCAAGTAATTTATTTTTGCATATCTTTCTGCCCATACACACACACACACACACACACACACACACACACACACACACACACACACACTATACATAAATAGAAATCATATTATAAAAGCATACCTGATATTTTTATTATGAACCCCTCCCATCACATATACTCTCTAAAATGTGCTTTCACTTTTGTTTCCCATTCTTGGTCACTGTGAACAATACTGTAATAAATATTCTTATACATGTGTCCTTATGAATTAATTTTTATTTCTATTTGTAGTCAGCCATGTCTAGTTTTTCCTTCGATGGATCCTGGGTTTCTAGACTCGGTTATGAAAATCCCTCTAATTTTTAGACCAGTAGTTTTGAACAGGTATGCCTCAGAATCACTTTCAGGAATTGTTAAGGTACAGATTGCTGAGCTCTATGCCCGGGGCTTGTCATTTGGTAGGTCCGGGGTGGGGGCTAAGAATTCTCATTTCCAACAAGTTCCTAGGGGATGCTCATCCTGCTGTTTTGGAGCCATGCCCTGAGAACTACTGCCTTTGATAATGCAGGTAGACTAGACTCCTTGATTTTCTTGCAAGAGTTTTACTCTCTTAAAACGTTTTTGCATCATCTTTAGTTCATTAACCAAGTAATCTTAATAAGTATTTCACAATAAATATAGTGTTAAAGTAAGAGTGGCCATTTAGAATTTGGAACAGTTTTATTTTTGTTGTCACTATAATTGGATCTGGAAATTTGATTTTGAAATTAGCTTTAAAGTCTAATTAGTAAATTCTTATGATTCCAGCAATTTTTGATCAATTCATTGTATATCTTTTGTAAGCTGAATGTTTCACTTGAATTCCATAACACAACAGATGCATTTAATTAAATAACTACTATCCATATATTTCAATCAATAATGGGAGAACCAGATTAGTTATTAATAGCTTAAAGTTTCCTGATTGTATAAATTAATGTTGAATTGAGTTATTGGATTAGATTTGTGACTTGATGCTTTTGAGATATTATTTCTTAGAGTTCCTTACTATTAAGATAAGGATTTAAGTAATATTTAAACTTGGAGTATTTTACATACCCAAATCTTCTTTATATTTTTTATTACCTGGTTTGAATATGTTATATAATGGGAAATAAATAGTTTGGTATATTTTGAAGTTGAATTTGCTTTTTCATATTTATTAACCTCATACTTTATTATATCTTTAAAATGTGTAATTCATAATAAATTTAAACGTATAATTTATTTGCTGGAGTTTTGTTCAGACCTTATTTTTCTCTAGTAGTCTCCTTTTTTCTTTCTCTTTTCTTTTTATTTTAATCCAAGTCCCTTCTTGTTTCCTCATTTTCTCATCTTTTCCTTCTTGAGCGCTGAAATTCCTTGACTAATTAAAATTTCACTTTACAAATCCATTCAAGCCAAGAGAGTTTTCAATAAGATTTGTACATTCTTCATATGGCATGTGTGTATGTATTTAGTTATGTTTGTGTTCAGAAGTAGAACTTTGCTCTCAAAGATGCAGAGGATAAGAAAGATAGTCATGTTCTGTACATTTTATACAGCTGCTAAAATTAGCTTGGAATGTTATCAATACTTGAATTTTTCTATGAAATTCTTAAATTTCTTAAATTTCTATGAAATTCTTAAATTCTTAAATTTCTATGAAATTCTTAAATTTGAGTATTAAAACTGTGTTCTATCCTTTATTCAATGATTAGCTTTTGTTTTTACATGTTTTCACTATTGTGAAATATTTAATGATATATTGTTTTGTGGTTTCATTTTCTCCAGGTTGAAATTCTTGAAAATGAGATTATTCAAGAAAAGCAAAGTCTTCAGAATTGTCAGAATTTAAGCAAGGATCTAATGAAGGAGAAAGCTCAGCTTGAAAAAACAATTGAAACACTTAGAGAAAATTCAGAGAGACAGGTTCTTAAATTTCCTATTAAGCAACATATTTTAAAATTTATTAACACAAGTTATTTTAAAGCTTGTACAAAATGTTCATAATAACGTTAAATGGAAATATTTTAGAATTTTTTAGATTTTAACATAACTATGGTTTAGACTTATTTTCTATCCCATACATTTTAGGAAAGTTGAAGGGAAAGCTTAGAATTTTTTAAATTGCCAGTGTGCTTAATAATTATCTGGTATAAAATTTGTGGTACCTGTGTTTGAATTGCTTTCAAGTGTCAGTGGAATAGAACTGCAGATTTTAAAGTCCCTGAATGAAGTTGGGGTGAAATGCAGCTCTACTCTGATCCCGCTAAGGAGGGACAAGTGGTCGCAGCACATATCTTGGATATTTTCATACTTGCTTTCAAGTGTTTATTGGTTATTCTCATTTTATGCTTGAGGAAACTGAGAATTGAATAGATTAAGTGACTGGCTGTTTTAAATTTTCTAATTTTTATAAGTAAAATGGGGACTTACCTGACAGTCCAGTGGTTAGGACTTTGCGCTTACACTGCAGGGGTCATGGGTTTGATCCCTGGTCAGGGAACTGAGATCCCACACCCTGCATGCTGCACGGTGTGGCCAAAAAGGAAAAAAAAAAAAAAAAAAAGCAGTCAAATGATTTGTTTTGTATTATCTAGGTATAGTCCTCAGGCCACCTATAAAAATACAGATTTCCATAGAGCTACAGAAGAAAAATTCTAGAGCTAAGTATGAATCTCTACTTTTACAAGGTTCTTGGGACTGTTTTACACACCGAATTTTAAGAACCATTACAGTAGGCCATGGTATAAATTGGATGGACTAGTTTTAAAATGTACCAGAGATTTTGTTATTTGATATTTCAAAATTAGAATTCTTTTAGGGAATAAATACACACAAATACACACCAATAGACATGCACATAGAGCAAATAGTGTATTTACTGAGGACTCACTGTGTATATGCATTGCGAAATCTATTGAATGAACGTAAAAGCTTGTATCTTCAAGAAGACATGTATGTACATTTCACCTATACTCATATTTGAATTTAAATCATGTAACCATAAATGATCTGAAGATCATTTTGATTAATATTCAATACATTTCTTTTAACCATTCCTTTACATTATGGATTCCCTAAAGATGTGAACTTTAAAGACTTGTCAGTATATGTACACGGTGATCTCTCAGTAAATATTTGTTGGAATTAAAATTAAGGTAGACGGTTTTAGCACCTTTTTTTGTGTGTGTGTGGTATGTGGGCCTCTCACTGTTGTGGCCTTTCCTGTTGCGGAGCACAGGCTCCAGATGTGCAGGCCTAGCGGCCATGGCTCACAGACCCAGCCACTCCGCGGCATCTTGCCAGACTGGGGCATGAACCCGCGTCCCCCTCATCGGCAGACGGACTCCCAACCACTGCGCCACCAGGGAAGCCCTTAGCACCTTTTTATGGTGTGATTTCCCTGTTAGTTTTTGGAGGGGGGAAAACTATGTAAGTTAAAATATTTAATTCATGTTCAGTTAAGTTTTAAATTTTCTCCTTTCTTTTTTTTTAATTAGATTAAAATATTGGAACAGGAAAATGAACATCTGAATCAAACTGTGTCCTCCTTAAGGCAGCGCTCCCAGATAAGTGCTGAAGCAAGGGTGAAAGACGTTGAAAAAGAAAATAAAATTCTCCATGAATCTATCAAGGAAACAAGTAGCAAGCTAAGCAAGATTGAATTTGAAAAAAGGCAAATCAGAAAAGAATTGGAACATTATAAAGAAAAAGGAGAACGAGCAGAAGAACTTGAAAATGAGTTACATCATCTTGAAAAAGAAAATGAATTGTTACAGAAAAAGATAACCAATTTAAAAATTACTTGTGAAAAAATTGAGGCCTTAGAACAAGAAAATTCAGAGCTAGAAAGAGAAAATAGGAAATATAAAAAAACATTGGATAGCTTTAAAAACCTTACTTTTCAGTTAGAATCCCTAGAGAAAGAGAATTCCCAGCTTGATGAGGAAAACTTAGAACTGCGAAGGAATGTAGAATCTTTAAAGTGTGCAAGCATGAAAATGGCTCAGCTACAACTAGAAAACAAAGAACTGGAAAGTGAAAAAGAACAACTTAAGAAAGGTTTAGAGCTCATGAAAGCATCTTTCAAGAAAACAGAACGCTTAGAGGTTAGCTACCAGGGTTTAGATACGGAAAATCAAAGGCTACAGAAAGCCCTAGAAAACAGCAATAAAAAAATTCAGCAGTTGGAAAGTGAACTACAAGACTTAGAGATGGAAAATCAAACACTGCAAAAAAACCTAGAAGAGTTAAAAATATCTAGCAAAAGACTAGAACAGCTAGAAAAAGAAAACAAATCATTAGAACAAGAGACTTCTCAACTGGAAAAGGATAAGAAACAACTGGAGAAGGAAAATAAGAGACTCCGACAACAAGCAGAAATAAAAGATACCACATTAGAAGAAAATAATGTGAAAATTGGAAATTTGGAAAAAGAAAACAAAACCCTTTTCAAAGAGATTGGTATTTATAAAGAATCCTGCATTCGTCTGAAAGAATTAGAGAAAGAAAATAAGGAGCTTGTGAAAAGAGCAACTATTGATATAAAAACTTTAGTTACATTACGAGAGGTAAATATAGTTACTTAAATTTCAGACAGATTTTTTTATATTTTTAACTCAGGGCTCTTTAACTTTTATTGCAGTAATTTGCATCATCTATTTATGGTTCAAAGTAGAAATTTAGAATTAGAAGCAGTTTCCAAGTTTCCTACTTTTGTTAAACTAAGGAGTAAATATAAATTGTATTTTTAAAGAAATTGTAATAATAAGGTTTCCATGTGTTATCTGACTTATTTATTACATTATAATTTTATACTTTTATTTCAGAGTAATATTAAAACCTTTGATCAAAACTGTTACTGAATGTGATAGCTACTAATTATTGAATGTGCCAAATACTGGACAGTTTTTACAGCCAATCCTTTATAGGTGTTATCTCCATTAGATTAGAAAATTGAGGTTCAGAGACATTAAGTAACTTACTTAAGACCACAATGGTAGATTTGGATTCCTGGATTTAAATCCAGATCTTTCAGACTTCAAAGCCCCTTGAATTTTGACTTCTAAGCTACAGAATGCAAATCAGATTGAATTTAAAGGTCAACGTTGAACAATTGGTAGTTGGTTGGATCTGTGTGTTGAGAAGAATTCTGAAATTTATGAGTAGATTGGCAATAAATTGTTGGTATAGCTCAGGAGATAGCATGCTTGGCTCTTACTTGCTATCCCTATGCTATACTATATATGATAACCCTTTAAGTTCAATTGAAAAATACCTTAGTTGGCATTCTGGCAGAAGCTCACATTGGGAAATATGCCTTTCTGCTAAAGAGGCATTGAGAAGAGACCATTATTATCCTTTCTTTTTTTTACTTTCTGTTGTTCTACAGTCTTACAGACATGAACAATAGGTTCCTGGTCCCATCTCTAAGAATTCCCCCTAGTTATTCAGTTCAATATCTTAGGCCTCTTCCACTGGGAGAGGGGTGCTTGTGGTGGGAGAAGGGTGTTATATCCAACATATATTCATAGGAAGAAATGTGCAATAAGGTTCTAGTTCATTATTAAGTTAATGCATATGTGTTGTTTTCCCCACAGTTTTCAAGCCTAAGGTGTATAATCACAAGTACAAGTTTCTCCTTTTAGTTTTTAAACACTAAAAAGTTAAAACGAACTATTAGCAAACTAAAAGAAGGAAAACAATACTCTTTGAACTAGGTGATAATTTTGTTGCCTAACTCTTTTATTGATGAAGGAAAAGCTCAGCAACAGCATTTCTGTCTTTCCTGGTTTAAATTGTATGTACTCCTGGATGGTGGTAGTTGGAATCTTGGCTGAATTTCTCGGATGTTTATGTTCATAACACTCATGTGAGTTTTACATTACTTTTAAAATAAGGATTTGGTGAGTGAAAAACTGAAGACTCAACAAATGAATAATGATCTTGAAAAATTAACTCATGAGCTTGAGAAGATAGGGTTAAATAAAGAGCGACTCTTACATGATGAGCAGAGTACTGATGACAGGTGAGTACTAAGTCTATCTGAGAAACAGTGGAAATAATTTTTTTGTTTTTCAAACATTAATTTTGAGACTGAGAAGCAATTAAGGTATGAAAATAATGTGAAAAACAAAGGCTTGACAAACAGAATAAAAAATTAACTTATATATTTTAATTTGAGAATGTTCAACAGGTTTAAAGAGAATTTACCATGGTAAATATAGTCTCTCAGTTAATTGGATTTTCAAGTAGTCTACTATTTGGCATCTAGTTAGCCACGTGATTCCAGCTAGAATAGAAGTGTGTATTGTTAAGAATATTGTTTTTTGTACACTAGATTTTAATTCATTGGAATTTTTGTAACTATATAATTTGTATTTTTGCTGTCTACCCATTATTACTGTTCTAGTAAGTATATTTTATATTAAATATATATAGGAAAAATTAATGCTGATTATATGGGATTTATTTATGTAATTTTGAGAATATTCAAAGTTAATAGAATAGATTGATACTTTTAAAAGTTAGTTCTATAGGGCTTCCCTGGTGGCGCAGTGGTTGAGAGTCCGCCTGCCAATGCAGAGGATGCGGGTTCGTGCCCCAGTTTGGGAAGATCCCACATGCCGCGGAGCGGCTGGGCCCGTGAGCCATGGCCGCTGAGCCTGCGCGTCCGGAGCCTGTGCTCCGCGGCGGGAGAGGCCACAACAGTGAGAGGCCCGCATACCGCAAAAAAAAAAAAAAAAAAAAGTTAGTTCTATAATAACAAATAGAGGTAATTTGAGGCATTTATTCTAGCAATCAATTCAAGCAATCTTAATTGAATTAATTACTATATAGATATTTCATGAGAAAAGATTTTTTGAGTTAAACACATTGTTAATGGACAATTTAGTTGACTATCTTTTAATATAGATACTGAATATGCATCTCTGCTTTATTCAGACAGATTTTCTACCTGTCATGTGTAAGACATTTTAAATGTAGAGCAAAAAGTACAGTAAACCATGCAGCTGCCTTAACTGACCCTGTTTTAAATTTACAAACCCAGCTTTTGAGGGGCCCTTCACACTGTGGTATCTCTTCCCAAACCTTACTTCATACAATTAATCAATGTTAATTAAGCTTTCATTACCTGCTGATTATCAGGCATCAAATAAATAATAATGTTTCAGCTGGATCTTGAAGAATGACAGAAATTTGCAAGGTGGAAATGGGGAAGGGCATTCCATGCAAATAAAGCACAAAGGTGTTTTGAGCAATCCTGAGTGACATTATAGATGGATTAGAAAAGGGACAAATTTGAAGGTACAGAGACCATTTAGGAAGCTATGTAATAGTCTAGGCAAGATGTAAGTGTATTCATTAATCCACACATTTTCATTTATAATGAAAGCATTAGATATGGAGATAAGGGTATGTATATTGAAATAAAACTTTTAGGAAAGGGAATTGAGATCAGTTAATAACTATGATCGAATCGGGGGGATCAGGAAACGAAGTGTCTTAAGCCACTAAACCTGCTTCTTTCTCAGCAAGTAAGTTAACCTTAACATCACAAAGAAAATTAGAGTTCACAGACATAAATTCCCTTAACATTCCATCCCCTCCATCTTAGAATTATGTGTATCTGCATCTGTCTTTACCTCTAATCTCAGATGGTATCCCTAATTCTTTTGTTAGTCTAACCTTTTCATCTTTCAACTGATGTTGTTCCCTCTGACCCCCCTTTATTATTAAGATATTTATTCTTGCCATCAAGGAATATACAGTCTAATTGTGGAATTGAATGTATAAATAGATAGAGTGCAACAAAGTAAATTTAGTGGTAGAATTGCAAACAGAGTGCAATGTGATCACTCTTGTCTTTCTCTTTTAACAGCTCTTTTTCCTGTGCCTTCTCTTTAAATATGGTTTCCTAGGGTTATGTTGTTAAGCCTCTTATCCATTCCATGAGCATTCCTGTCCATCATCTCAGCTAATACCCATATTATTCTCTGCTTACTGGACATCTCTATCTGAACAGTCCAGAACTCAGGCATCACAAATTTAATATATCCAAAGTCATACTCATTACATGCTTTAAAATTGTTTGTTGACTCAAGCCAATACCAAAATGAGTGAGATTTGTTCTCTTTTCTCAATGAACTTAAAATCTGGCTGAGCAGAAAATATATACACACAAATTAATTACAGTAAGAGGCAGAGTATGATAAAAGTTTCTCATATTTGTACTTTAGGTTTTTATTTGGTTTAGTCATTGAGGTTCTCAGGTGTAGAAATAGATTAATCCGTAATTCCTAGTCTGTGGTTCACTCTCAAAGTGTGTTCATGAACTGTCCTTTTTTGTAAAAAAAATAAAAATCTTATGAATAATATAAATACTTATGAACCCACCATTCAAAAAGATAACTAAAATTTTGACACTCAGATCTATCTTCCTCTTCCTGTTCTGTCACCAGTATCTTGTGTCTTAACATATCATTCCTTTTTTTTTTAATATTCTGCAAGTACTCTACGCCCTGAATGTAAAGTCTTCAGTGAGCTTTAAGTCAACTATTCATATGTACTTGTATAAATACATTACATATTAATATCATAGATGAATGCTTAATAATGTGATAAATCCATCCACTTACTCTTTGTATAGATTCTATTCTTATAAAACTGAAAGGAATATTTTGAGATTCAGATCTTCCAGATGCCTTTTTTGAGTAATAATTTTTGCTTTTGACAGCCTAAAATGTAATTTGGAGCTTTGATTTACTCAGTGATTTTTTGTTTTTTCATTACCAGGAATAGTTTAAAAGGGGGAGTGGGCAGTAAGAGCAGGATAATTTAATTTGCTTCTTTTTTAAAAAGACTATTTTATAAAGTCTATTTATAATATCAGTATCTGTGGTCATAAATTATCTTTAAAAATAATTTTCTGACCTCCAATAATGAACTATATTATTTTTATACTTGGATTATAGATACAAACTTTTGGAATCAAAATTAGAATCTACTCTAAAGAAGTCCCTTGAAATAAAAGAAGAAAAAATCGCTGCATTAGAAGCTCGATTAGAAGAGTCCACAAATTATAACCAGCAGTTGCGCCAAGAACTTAAAACAGTAAGTGTGACTTCCTTGGAAAGAATTTTAATTGTCTTTTTTTTTTCTTTCTTTTTTGGCCCCACTGCACGGCTTGCAGGATCTTAGTTCTCTGACCAGGGATTGATCCTGGATTGAACCTAGGCCCTGGCAGTGAAAGCACTGAGTCCTAACCACTGGACCACCAGGGAACTCCCAAATTGTCAAGTATTTGGACAGAAAAGTGTAAAGTAGAAAATAAAAATGAAACAATTTTATTAACATTTTGTCTATTCTTCCTTTTTCTTAAATTTTAGAATATTCTTAAACAGATCTTTGTCATGTAGTTTGTAACAAACTATTTTGTCTATACACTATAATTTATTCAATCCTATTTCATCTATGAATGTCCCTCATGCAGTAAGGGACATATCAGAATTGTGAGAGTGGGATGGGGAAGAGGCAGGCTTATTTCATTGGGAAGAACTCTCAGTGTGATTCTGACACTTCACGAGCACTCTTTTCCTATTGAGAATCCAGGTAAAAGTTTGGTAGACAAAGATATGGGTGTGAGGATAGCAAGTAGAGGGAAATAGTATGTGTGGTATAAGAAAGCACTTAATCCAAAAATTTGAGGTCTTTTCTAAATTTGTTTTCTTGTGATATTTGGAATTATTCAGTGAAGTATGTGAGGCAGGGGCTACTATTTTCCCCACCTGAATAAACTGAAATTGAAGGGGCTTGCGCTTTCCATAGGGTTAGTGTATGGTAGATTGGTAGAATCGCGTTGTGCCTTATTCTCCCTTTTATCAGCTCTGTAGTCATACCCAGAATGGTTTTACAGTCAACCAAACATTCAGACCAGCAAGTTTACTATAGGCCACATTTAGAGCCATATGATTCAGAACACTATAGGAAATATAAGCTGATGGTAGGGCACTATCAGGTGTCCATCTTCATATAATTGTCTGAGAGTCATCTTCTCACCAGATGACTGTTGGTTGTGTGTGGGAGCTGCCCTGGCTTTGAGACTTCATGCTTCATAGCAGTCATCATCTCTTGCAACAACTCCAAGGCATGGATTTAAGATCTTCACAGACTTAAGATTTAAGAGTTGCTGCACTCAGAGAAGTTCAAAGGTGTAGCTGCCTATTAGGTATTTATAGTTCTCTTAATTACAAATATAATTTAGCAATGAGAGATCATTTTTCCCCTAAGCAGTCTTGCCTGGTAACATAGAACATTCCAATTTTATCAGGTTTCCAGAGAAACAGTTACCCAAAGATGAATTTCTCATGCAGGAAGGGGAAAAGGATTTGTTCCTCATTTGCCAATACCATCATTGCTGGTGTTGGTCTCAGACATTAACATGAAACATATTTTGTTGCAGAAGAAATTCTGGAACTTTGTTTAGTTAACATAAAGAGTTGTCCAAAAAAATAAAATAAAACTTGGTGCCGGATGCCATTAATCTGCTTTATTTTCCAAATTTTTTGCCCTGTTAAGCAATGTGACTACATTGCAAATAAAGTCAATTTCAAGAAGCTACTACGACAGAAAATAAATGGGTTTGAGGATGGGTTAGTATAAGATGTATTTCAAGTCTAAAAGGTAGAGATTTAAAATTCCATCATTATCTTCCAGTTCCAGCCATTTTGGCATAATTGGACTATTATTGGACTAGCTTCCTGCCATAAACATGTATTCAACTGGAATTATACTGTTCTAATTTTTAATATTATACGTGAAGAGGTGTATCACTTGAACATAGACTATGAAAGCTAAATATGAATAATAGGCATAAAATAACTGCTAAAATAGCATGACAAAGCGGTATTACTAAAATGCCAGCAAAGGAGATAAAATTAGAATCAAAAAATACAAATGAAGGCAGAAAAAGAAAAAAGGGAGAACAAGGTACAGGTTGGACAAATGGAAAACAAGTAACAAGATAGTTTTAAACCAAACCATGTCAGTAATCACATTAAATATAAATAGTCTAAACATCCCCAATTAAAAGGCGGAGAGTAATAAATTAGATAAAAAGGCACCTATATGCTGCCTCTTGAGAAACCTTGATGGAAAATATGTCATTTTCTATATGAACAAGGTTTCTATGAGAAACCTTGATGGAAAATATGTCATTTTCTATATGAAACTTAGTTGTAAGAACAATGGGCTAAAAATGAGAAGTTTTGAGTTTTATTCTCAGGTCACCTTCTTAATAATGACATATATCTTTAACTCTTATAAGCCTAGAAAAAAGATCCTGTGGGAAATTAATGTAAAATAGGAGACTGGAAATGATGTCATCCATCCATGTTATTAGGGTGTTGAAAGTATTAAAAAAAAGTGGAAAATCAGGATCCCAGAACACCTGTTAGGTCACTTGCCAAGATTTAAATTACATTCTATCTTGGCATCCTTTTTTCTTTAGTCTCACATCATTATTTTCTAACTCAGTAGTAGTAGCAAAGTTTGAGCCATAAGTTTTCTTAAGGTTGCATCAGACATTGAATTATTTTAAACATTTATATCCTTGTCTCAATAGAAAGTTTGGGGTTAATTTAGAAATTTATGATAATCATTTCCTAGGATAAACTAGTAATTCAGGATAAGTATAATAATCATCAATTTAAATTGAAGAGAGCAATTAAGTTAATAAGTTAATAGTTAATTTTGGCTGATTACCAAGTTGTTAGTTTTTTTTGGCTGCCTTGGGTCTACGGTTGCTGCACGTAGGCTTTCTCTAGTTGTGGCGAGCGGGGGCTAGTCTTCATTGCGGTGCATGGGCTTCTCATTGTGGTGGTTTCTGGTTGCAGAGCATGGGCTTGAGGCACGCGGGCTTCAGTAGTTGCAGCACGTGGGCTCAGTAGTTGTGGCATGCGGCCCCTAGAGCCTGCAGGCTTCAGTAGTTGTGGCACACAGGTTTAGTTGCTCCGCGGCTTGTGGGATCTTCCTGGATCAGGGCTCAAACCCGTATCCCCTGCATTGGCAGGTGGATTCTTAACCACTGCATCACCAGGGAAGTCCCCAAGTTTTTAGTTTTGATTTTGCTCTCTTAAAGTAGGATTTGGTTATACCAGAAAACCAGAAAACCCTAGATAAGATATATCCTTGGATTGCTCACTCTTCATCAAAACGAATTACAGAAATTTTATGTGGGTCAGTATCTGAATAAAGAAGTCATTTATTTATTAACATAGGTCATTCTGAGCAACAAAATCCTTCTTAAAAGGCCGGACATATATAGCTACTTCTTCAACTTTAGGTATCTTTTTACGGGGAATTAATATATGTGTCAAGTCTTTATTTGTTCCTGATATGGGAATCTCTGAAATCTCTAAATCAGCTATAAATAGCTCTAAAAACAATTGTTAGTATCTAGCAACATGTCTATATCCAGTTAATCTATCCTTCAGTGATATTTTCGTCATAAACAGTAGGATCTGAAATTACAAAATATATTGTAGGAACATGGCATATAAGCAGAGTATATTTAATATTTCTACAGGAAAGGATTTGAATTCTGCAAAGCATAAATTATGATCATAATAATGATAGTCATATATATTACTTATCATATTTTTAAATGAACTGTCTCTCACATTCACCAGACCATTGTGGAGTCAAACTATGATAAATATTATAACCTTGGTGGTATGTTTTTTTCCCCATTAAAATATTTTAAATAAACTAAAACAATATTATAAATCAACTAGACTTCAATTTTTACAAATATTTTAAATAAAATTTTAGGTGAAAAAGAATTATGAAGCTCTCAAGCAGAGACAAGATGAGGAAAAGATGGTACAGAGCTCTCCTCCAGTTTCTGGTGAAGATAACAAATGGGAGCGAGAAAGTCAAGAAACAACCAGAGAGCTTCTGAAAGTTAAAGACAGATTAATTGAAGTTGAAAGAAATGTAAGTAGTTTAGTATGAATAAGGTTTTTTAGAAGTAAAGGATCATTGAATATATAACTCAGAAAATTTATCTAATTTGTAGCTTTGTTCATTTTATACTTTCTTGACTGGTTTATTTTTTAATATTAAGAAAACACAGAAAAACTAATAATTTAATATTCTTTTCTTCGTCACCCTCACGTAAGTCTATCAGCAAGCTTTGTCAACTCTGTCTTGTAAATATAACCCAAACTCATCTACTTCTCTTCATCTCTGCTGCTACCACTCTAGTCTAAGGTACCATTATCTCTCATCTGGACTATTAGAGTATCCTCCTAACTGGCTTGCCCCTTTCACTCTCAAACTAACCCATTCTTTTTTGTGTTTTTTTTTTTTTTGCGGTACACGGGCCTCTCACTGTTGTGGCCTCTCCCGTTGCGGAGCACAGGCTCCGGACGTGCAGGCTCAGTGGCCATGGCTCACGGGCCCAGCCACTCCGCGGCATGTGGGATCTTCCCAGACCGGGGCACAAACCCGTGTCCCCTGCATTGGCAGGCAGACTCTCAACCACTGCGCCACCAGGGAAGCCCTAACCCATTCTTAATGTAGTAACCTAGAGTTATTTTTAAAACATAATCCAGGTCATGTCATTTTCCTACAAAAAATCTTCAGTGGCTTCCCATTTCATTTATAATAAAATCCATATTCTTTACTGCATCTGTAAGATCCTTTTTGATATTGCCCTGCCTGTATCTCTGACCTTATACCATATTATTCTTCCACCAACCATTCTTATTAATCAGGGGATAATATTATTATTATCTGTTAATATGTGGAAAACATGGAACAATGACTGGCACATAATAAGTAAATTGATTGTAGTCATATTGGCCTTTTCTATTTGTTCCTATCTCAGGGCTTTTCTGTTTGCTTCTGTTTTCTGTGTGTATGTTACCATAATTTAAATAAATCCCACATCAGTGGACATTTATTTTCAGATTTTGCTGCAATGAAAATCCATATATAACATGTTCATAGGGTAATAAATTCCTTTCAGTAGAAATGATAGGACAAAGAGCATATATATATATACACACACATATTTCGGTGTGTATGTGTGTGTATTTAATTTTTTTTTAACATCTTTATTGGAGTATAATTGCTTTACAATGCTGTGTTAGTTTCTGCTTTTTAATTTTAATTGATATAATCATATGAGCTTTTCAGAAATATCAATTTTCAATCCCACTAACAGAATACCTATTTTTTCAGATTAACATTGGATATTACCAGCCTTTTAATTTTTATTGAAGTGATAGGAGAAAATATTTTGTGTGTTTTATATTATTAGCGAGCTATTTTATGTCTTTTTTATGTATATATCAGCCATATATGAATACCTGTGTTTCATTATTCAGTGATATATATGTATAGATCAATCACTTGGATTAATAATTACATTTCAGAAAATTTGGTGTGTAATGTATAAGATAAATCTCTTTTTCCATTGACTTCTTCTATAAATTTCCATTGGGGGAAAAATTTACCTGGTTGTCATAGTTTAGCCATTTTAGATGATGGGTTTATAAAGATGTCTACCCTATATTAGACTGGTAATTTTTGTGCATTTGCTAGTACATATATTGTTAACTTTGTACTTTAACATTGTAAACTTTTTCCTGTTCTGAGATATCTTATCTACTCTCAGTTATCTCTTCTCTTCATTATAGACTATAGGAATTTTTCTTATTCTTAGGGAATACCCAGACTTATCATTAGAGTTTGTACATTTTGGTTTCTAAAGAGCTGACCTATAATATTAGTTAACATGTGTAGGTGAAAAATGGTTCCCCTCTTTGGTGTATCAAAATGGTATACAAGTACATCATTATTCCATATTATTTTCCAGTGTAAATTTTTTTTCATCCTTTTTATGTGATCAAATGAACAAAACACAAGTACAATATCAACACCCATTTTTAAAGCATTTTTCTTCCTCAGCTTTGATTTTATGGTATAATATATGGGTCAAATCATGACTTGCCTTTTATGCAGTGATGTGTAGTATATATAACTTGAAGGCCTATAAAGTGAATGTTGTCTTTGTCCCATAAGGTAGATATGATAAATGTGATCTGTTGTGATTCAGTTGTAACTTTTTTTGCATGTTGCAATTATACAGATTCTGGCCTTGTACATTAAAGTTTTGTTTTGGTTTTCTAAAGGATTCTTTGTTTATACTTTTTGATGCTAATTTTTATTCAGAAATGATCTTGAAAATGTAGTATCCATAACAAACATTTTATTATCTATCACATTAAATATAATGATTTACATAGTAATTCAGCTGTTTAACTATAAAATTGAAATATGGCCATATGTATTGGAAAAATTGAAAATAGTATGTTTTGTTTGGATTTGCTCCAGAAGTCCTATAGATGAAATACAGTTTTAGTTAGTGTTTTATGCCATGAAAAAAACACTAAAGAAAATACGTAACATCTGTTAGGTCTATTACGGACTAAATTTTTTAAACAGATGGCTTAGATTGTTCCTGCTTCTCTTCCAAATATTTGTGTTTATAAAATACTTAGTTTTGCTGCTACCCCTGGGACCACCACGTGTGTGTGTGTGTGTGTGCACGCATGCATGTGCATGCACATGCGCACATCTCTGTGTATGTGTGTGTGTGTGTGTGTGTGTGTGTGTGTGTATATATATATATATATATATATATTTGCCTTTGGGCAATTTGAAAAGGTACACTCCATTGGCTAGACATAGCCCCATGCACTCTGGGCACTTTTGAACAGCATAAAAACCATTGAACTGACAATCCCATTCTAGTTTTTTGTGTTAATAAATATATGTATAATGGAATATGTTATTTGTTGGACATTATAAAGCAGGCAGAGCACAGACACAATAGTATATTAAGGTTTTAGTATTGCTTTAAATGCTTTAAAAGATTAAATATCTTTTTACAGTTTGGGATAGAGGGGAAGTGTTTTGTCTTTTTCTCTTTTAAGATTGTTGAGTTTTTTTGGATTATAATGGTAATAAACACTTGTATAACATTCTAGTATTTGTTAAACAGAAATATGTTTGATGCTGCTTTTTTTTAAATATGTGTTTTCTTTATTCAGAATGCTACACTACAAGCAGAGAAGCAAGCATTGAAAACTCAACTGAAGCAACTTGAGACACAGAACAATAATTTGCAGGCTCAGATTCTTGCACTTCAGAGGCAGACAGTATCATTACAGGAACAGAATACCACTCTTCAAACACAGAATGCCAAGCTTCAGGTTGTAATGTAAAATTATCGGGATATGCAACAAAACTCTTGAATTATGCTATTATGCTATTAAAATAAGGATGACTAGACATGGTAACATTGTTTCCTAGAGAGAGAATTTAACAATTAGTTGAAGATAAAGTATTTCTATATGTGCTTTGCCAAATTTTCAGATATCAGCATTTTTTAAATGTCAGAGCCTCTAAATTAAGTAATAAATTTACTCATCAAATAAAGATAATTTTATTTTTATTGACTTTATGGCCTTTTACCCGTTTCATCAAGCTGCTAATAATTAATCAGGTAGAAACCCTTGTTTTAGAGTATGATTGCAGCATATCTGTTAGTTAAGTTACTGGAAAACAACACAGCATGAGAATTTTGTCTTTGGACTTATCCTTAATTCAAATGATCCGTCTTGCACTTAACACTACCAGTGTCTTTTCAAATAGAGCAGTCAAGTGGGGGAAAGTGCAACTCTCTGAAACCTCTTAAAAAGCAGTGAAGAAGTTCCCCCTCTGAATCTAAACATTCTTCTTTCTCTAACTCTTTTCCAAATGATACAGCAAATACTAATTTAATTTAGATGAGAAAATTACCAATTGAATATTCACAAGTAATTCTTTCCTTCTATCAACTCTCAACTTCTAGAAAATGATAAACTAGCATTTCAAATTTTGTTCTTTTTCATGGAATTGTTGCTAATCACCTTCATTCAAGATAATTTAACCCTGGGAATTCCCTGGCAGTCCAGTGGTTAGGACTCCACGCTTCCACTGCAGGGGACCCAGGTTCAATCCCTGATCGGGGAACTAAGATTCTGTAAGCCGTGCGGCTCTGCCAAAAATAAATAAATTAATTAAATTAAATAATTCAACCCAAAACATATATATGATATGTATCTCATAATATATATCGTAACACCTACCAAAAATCAAAATTAAATGATAACCTTATTCTTTAGGGTGCTAAAATCCAAATTTTCTCAGTATAATATGAATATATCCGCAGTGATTTATTTAGTGCTTCCTAAAGTTAACATTGTCTTTTACTATAAAAAAAGAACATTATAAGCTATTTTTCTTGTGTCTAATACAGTATGCATTCTTGTAGGTTGAAAATTCCACTCTTAATTCCCAAAGTACCTCACTTATGAACCAGAATGCACAACTCCTAATCCAGCAGTCTTCCTTAGAAAATGAAAATGAATCTGTGATCAAAGAGCGAGAAGACCTGAAATCTCTCTATGATTCTCTGATCAAAGATCATGAAAAGCTGGAACTTCTGCATGAACGACAGGCTTCAGAGTATGAGTCTCTCATTGCTAAACATGGAACTCTAAAGTCTGCCCACAAAAATCTTGAGGTGGAACATAAAGACCTTGAAGATCGGTAATTTATTATCTTTTCTTGTGCTGTTAACTTAAAACCAATTTTCACTGGGTAATATAATAAATTGTATATGTTAAACAGGTCTGAGATAATTTATGTAGGACATATATATAAATTTACATGTTTTATGTGATACATATTAATAAATTACTATTGTTTCCTTTATTTCTAAAATGTTTTCTTTTTTTCTAAGGAAATATTATAAACCAAATACATAACTTTTTTTTCCAGTTACAATCAGTTACTAAAACAGAAAGGACAATTGGAAGATTTGGAAAAAACACTGAAGGTAGAACAGGAAAAAATGCTGCTTAAAAACAAAAACCATGAAACTGTAGCTGCAGAATACAAGAAACTTTGTGGTGAAAATGATAGGTAATAAATATTTATATATTTTAGTTTTGTATTATTCATTATATCCAACGTGTATATTGCCCCTTTGTAGTACCATCCATAACTTAGAATTTTTAAAAAAGACCCCAGAGCAATAAGTAAATTACCCACCAAAATCATGTAGCTAGTTATAGAATGACAGACGAAAACCTGGATCTTCTGCTTTCTCTCGTTGTTTCTCTCTTGATTTATTCAACTAATTATGTTTTTAAGCCACATTATATAACAAAATTTCCATGTATGTCGATAGAATTTACATACTTTATTGAGACAGAATGTAATGAAACCTGACTCTTTATGTCTTTCTCTTTCTGCTAGTCTGGTATCCTGATTCTTGTCTTTGAAGGTGCTAAAAGTGAGCAGCTTTATCATTTTCTAGCTCATTGTTTGTACTTTTAGTTTTAACTGTCTTAGGTTTTAATGGTCTCATATTGCCATGGGGCAATTATTTTTTAATTTGAAGCCTTGGGAAAATCAAAACTTGTCAACTGGTGATCACCCTACTTCATAAGAGTACATTTTCAAAAAATTTTTGGAAGCCTTTGAAAAATTTAGACAGCCTAAACATTTGTACTGCTTTTACATTGCCGTAGCAGAAGTGCTGAAAGACAGCACACAAAATTCAGTGGGGATCATTCATTGAGTATTTGTCCTATTACGGATTTAATGCAATCTATTTTTAGAATTAAACATCTATTTCTTTTCCTTTATTAAAAAAATCCCTAGGCTTCTAGAGCCATTTTCATTTTCATACTTAGTAGTTTTTAATTTAGGAATTTTTACAACTAGAAATTCTGTACTGATGGATTTGAACTTTAACAAGCTCAACACCAAGCTAGAATCAAGGAACATATATTTGTACAGTATAAACAACAGAAGACCAAATTATGACAAGTTATAGGATACAAGGACATATTACATACATAACATTGGGGAATGCATTTAGTCTGGAAGTCCCATCTTCAACCTAACCTTTCTTCCTTGTTGGGATTCACACCAAACTGGGACAGTTTGTGAACTTGAGTAGACCTTCCAGAAATCTGTTTTGCATACATTAATGAAGAGTCTCCAGAAAGAATTCAGCCTAAATGATAAGAAGAAATTGAGCATGACAAACTTGAACCAGAAGATTATGCAGGCTTGGAAGGGAAGAGTGGTCCTGAGTAGAGTATTTTCTGTCTCTCAGTGCTGTTCTTGCCCAGCTTTTATGCACTCATGCCTGTGTTCTAAGGGAAGAAAAGGCTTTAAGTAAAACCTGAAAGAGCTCTTTTACAAATAAAAGATATTTGTGAAGACTTAATCTAAAGAACAGTAGTTTATCCATTTCTCTAAATAGCGTAAGTTTTAATCTTCGATGATGCCAAACCAAGAAAGTTGGTGGACTAGGTTGTCTTGGTCTCTTTAGAATTATGTTCACTGAATTTTATTTTGGTGTTAACGTTCTCAGCTTTGAGGGACAATGTAAAAAAACTCTCTTAAAGAGGTTATTTTAGTATTTGCCAGTGAGATGATATTGAGGACATTGTTTATTCTACCTCTTTATATCCCCTCCTGCCATGAAGCATTATGTAGCTGTCTATATGCCTCAGTGAGGTTTGCCCAGCTGTTACACACATGGCGTGCATTCATACATGGATTCAACCTATTAATGGAGTGTTTATTGTATGTTTCTGGTCTTGCCATTTTACTTTTTTACCAAGTCATGATTTTTTAAAATGTATTATTTTATTATTTATAATTCTTATAAGCGTACTCAAATTGTTTGGAAAATGAGTTGAATTAAATTATTAGATGTTCTGAGCAAGTATCATCCTGAGCAAAAGTTTATTTTGTTTGGCTCCCTCCGCCTTTTGTGGGTTCCTGATCTTAATTCCTTCCATAAGATGAAGGTTAGTAAACTACAGCTAGCTTAGCAAGCCACATCCAGCCTGCAGCCTGTTTTGGTACAACCCCAAACAAAGAACCGTTTTTACATCTTAAAACGTTGTGGTGGGGGACAAAAAAGAAGAGCATGCTGTAGATTGCATGCGACCCACAAAGCCTAAGGTATTTATTACTCTCTGGTCCTTTATAGAAAGAATTTGCTGATCTCCCTCCTAGAGGTCAGTGGACCTTGTTCTAAAGGTATAATAGTGGAAAGGAACAGAAAAGGCTATACTGTGATTTTTACAAAAAAATCCAAAATTTATCATGAATAATTGAGGACTGCATAAATATGAACAATTTGCCACAACTGCAGAAATCTCAATAACTAATTTTTTTTTTTTTTTGCGGTACGCGGACCTCTCACTGTTGTGGCCTCTCGCGTTGCGGAGCACAGGCTCCGGACGCGCAGGCTCAGCGGCCATGGCTCACGGGCCCAGCCGCTCCACGGCATGTGGGATCTTCCCGGACCAGGGCACAAACCCGTGTCCCCCGCATCGGCAGGCAGACTCTCAACCACTGCGCCACCAGGGAAGCCCTCAATAACTAAAATTTTGATTGAAGTTTGTATATCTCAGTTATCTGGCAACAGATTGATAGATTACCATGTCTCATACTGGATTGATTAATTTGCTCGATCTGATTTTTCTTTATTTTTCATGCTGAATTGTAGAATCTTTGAATTCTCTAGGTTAATCAAAACTGGATTGGTTATTTTCTCTTTTGTCCTTTAAATATTTTTCAATTAATACTTAAAAGTTTTAAAGTATAGTTTTTACAGACTAGAAACTGATTCTTGATCAGTTTAATCACTGGCAAGAGAATCTTTTATATTCTTTAAGTATGTCTGAATGTGATTTACAGCATTTTCACACTGTGTAAATTATAATGAAATCTATTAAGAGAATCTAACTCTATTTATATCATGATTTCTAATTATAGGTTGAATCATACATATAATCAGCTTTTAAAAGAGACTGAAGTTTTACAAACTGACCATAAAAACTTGAAAAGTCTTCTAAATAGTTCCAGACTGGAACAAACAAGATTAGAAGCTGAATTTTCAAAGTTAAAGGAACAATACCAACAACTGGACATCACATCCACCAAGCTAAATAACCAGTGTGAGGTGAGCTTAATAAGTTTAATTGCTGTTTCCTTCTCTTTAGGTATCAAGACTTGCCTAAAAAGTAAACAATCATATTATAATAATGATAATAGCAGTATATGTTTAGTGGGGTATTTCCAAAAGAATTGGTCAGGGATAATTGAAATTCACAAATCATTCAGAAAAACTTCCTTCTTCCTTTATCATTAATTTCAACAATTTTTATTATTAGTTTAAACTTATATGTTCAGCTACTTTGAAAAATTAACCCTTGTTTAATGAAAAAATGTTTACTGACCACCTGGCATGTATTAGTAAACCAAAAAGGTAAAAATCTCATTCCTTGTGGAGCTTATATTCTGGTGGAAGGAAGCAGACAATAAACGTAATAAGTAAGTGAAATATATAGTATTTCATTGTTTCATTACATATGGCTGTGTAACAATTTACCCCAAAACATGGTGGTATAAAACAGCCATTTTTTATGCTCACATATTCTGTGGGTCAGAATTTGGACAGGGACAGTAGGGCCAGTTTGTCTCTGCTCCACTTGCATCTGGGCCCTCAGTTGGAAGATTGAAAGGCTGAGTGCATGTTTGGTGTTGATGCTGGCTATCGGCTAGAAGCATCAGTTTCCTCTTCACGTGATCTCTCCCCGTGGACTGGTTTGGGCTTTCTCACAACGTGGTGAGAACCAGACAGAAGCTATCTCTATGTTAATGATCAAGCCTCAGAAGTCATGCAGCATCATTTCCCCTGCATTCTATTCACCGAGGCAGTCAAAGTCCCATCCAGGTTCAAGGGAAAGAGAAATAGACTCAGCCTCTTGATGGTGAATGGCAAGATTCCGGAAGAGCATATGGACTGGAAATACTGCTGTAACCATTTTGAAGATTAGTCTGCAACATATGGTATGTTACAAGATGATAAGTTATGTGCAAGTAAAAATGGAGTAGGGTAAAGGGGGATAAGGACCCCCAAAGTGGATGAGGGAGTATAGATTGAAATTTTAACTAGGCCTCCCTGAACACAGATTTGAAGATTCATGTATTATTATGTGGATATCTGGGGAAAGAACATTCCAGGCAAACAGCCCACACAGTGAACCTAGGTCAGGGGAATACTGGTATGTTTGAGGAATACTCAAGGAAGCTAGTGTGGCTGGAGTGGAATGAGCAAAGTGGGGAGAGTAGTAGGAGATGAGCTCAGAGATATGCCTGGGCCAGATATGTTGCCTTTATAGGCCATTGTAAAACACTTTTCTGAGTAAAACAGGGGAGGCATGGGAGAGTTTTGAACAGAAGTGACATCTGCCTTATGTGTACAGTTCTACTCTTAACATAATTCCATGCCTCTTCCCATGATTGTTTGATAAAGTGATAAACGTTTTGAAATAGAAAAAGGATATTGAAAGCCTTAAATAATTCTTAAATTTTATGATTGGTCCCTAAATTGTTAAAGCTTGAGTATAGCTTAACATCTGAATTTCTTGGAACTTTTAGGAAACCAGCACTTAAGCAAACCCTTAAATGGAATTAGTAATAGACTGCATCAGAAAAGTAATACTTAAAAGCTTTTTGTCTAAAATCACAAACTAATAGAAAAATTAGTTTGAAATCATACATATTTAATTACCCAAAAGAGTTCAGAAATTATAGAACATTCATTCTGCCTGTGATTTATAAAAGTTTAAATAAAATATAATTGGGGTAATACACTTACAGAGGAACATGACGTACAGTGAAGAACATGACAAAATCAACTTCCCCAGAAACAATAAAATTGGACAGAACTATCAAAAACAACCATTTTAGGGCTCTGGAACTCAAGCAAAGACATACAAAAAATTGAGAAGAATTTGTTAAAGAAAAACTACTCAGCTTGGGGTAGGAGGTTGTTTGAGGCATTTTATCATGTGACTTCTCCCGTTCTTAGTCCCTTCCTCCCTTTTCTCCATACCTGGTAGTTCAGGCAAGGGGCAAGCCTTGAAAACCAACCACTTTGCTACTGGAGGGGACTGGCTTGATTTCAGCAGAGAACAGGAGAGTTCCACACCCAGGAGGGCTGTCAAAGGTCAACTCTCAGATAGCCTGAGGTTGGAATGTTAGATGTGGCAAGTCACGGACCAGGAAACTACTCAGAAATTTAACGTGGAGATCCAAGGAATGAGACAGCTAGCCATAATTTGTCTTGATAAGGTCCTACATGTCACTGGTGGTCTAGAAGACTGCTCAGGAGAGATCAGAAAGGGCCCTAACTACCTTATCCCTGGCTGAGTGTCCCAACTTGAGTCAAATGCTAACCCTTGGGTAGGGGCTAAGTCATATAATAACATGATTTGGAGGGAGTGGAAAAATGAATCCATAGTGTCGGAGGTTCGTATAGTAGTTAATCTTTGTGGGAAGGGGTGGTAATTGGAAGAGACCACAACAAGTGTTTCTGGAATACAATTAATGTGCTGTTTCTTGATCTGGGTGCTGCTTCACACGAGTTCATTTTGTGATAATTCATTGAGCTGTATATACACTTAAAATTTGTTCTCTTTTCTGTATATATGTTTTATCAGTTGTCTACTGATGCAGTAATGCTGTATAAGAACCATAGAACCTCAGTGGTAAGGGACAGTAAACATTTATTTTTGCTCGTGAGTCTGGGTTAGTTGAGCAGATGTGCTAATCTGCATTGATGTGTGTACTAAGATCAGTTGATCTTGGTAGGGCTTGCTCCTGTATCTGCAGTTAGCTGGCACGTACCCTGAGAGCTGGCTGGTCTAAGGTGGCCCCAGCTGGTGTAACTTGTCTGTGCCATGCGGTCTCTCATCCTCCAACAGGATTCCAAGAGACTGAAGGGAAGCACATAAGCCTCTTGAGGCCTAGGCTTGGAACTATCACACCATCACTTCTGCCTCCTTCCCTTGGCCAGAGGCATTCCAAATTCAAGAAGAGGGGAAGTAGATTCCACTTCTTGATAGGAAAAGTGAGAAGTCACAGCACAAGAGGGTACAGGGAGGAGCACTGCATTCAATTTTGCAGTGAATCTACCACATATGTTGTATTTCAGTTTAACAACATATAGATAAATAAAACAAATATAGCACAGTATTGACAGTTGTTAGATCTAGATGGCTGTTTATGGGTATTCATAGTATACTTTCTGCTTTTTCTTTTTTTTTCTTGCTTTTTTTCCCTACGTTTAAAAAATATATTCTACAAGTGACACTAAATTTTGACAATCACTACTTTGGTCTCTCTGACTTCTACTGAAACCTCTGGCCTAACTAAGGCATATTTCTAATTTCTATTGACTACAGAGAAGAAGCAGCTCAATCATGCTGGCAGCCTAACTACTAGTAATAATCAGTAGTAATACCACCCATTTATTTATTTATTTATTTACTTACTTACTTATTTTTGCGGTACACGGGCCTCTCACTGTTGTGACCTCTCCCATTGTGGAGCACAGGCTCCGGATGCACAGGCTCAGCGGCCATGGCTCACGGGCCCAGCCGCTCCGCGGCATGTGGGATCTTCCCGGACCGGGGCACAAACCCGTGTCCCCTGCATCGGCAGGCAGACTGTCAACCACTGCGCCACCAGGGAAGCCCCCACCCATTTATTGATACTAGATTACATGACTCCCTTGGATCAAGCCATAAAAATTATACACAAACTGTTAAGGTTTCTTGAAAACAGTGGTTGGGGGAAGAATGAGGTATATTAAGTACCTACTGTGTGCCATAGGCATGACACCACGTACTTTACATATATTATTTAATCCTTGCAACAGTCTTGGGGGATGGGAGTTGTTATCCTCAATTTATAGGTGGGGTCATTAAGGCTCAGAGAGTTACTAATTTGTTCAGCATTTTATAGCTACTTAAATGGAAGGCCAGAGATAGGAATCTAGCTTTGGACTCTAAGTCAAACAGCTGTAAAGAAAGCAGTGTTTGTTTTTGGAACTAGATAATTTATTATATGTTAAACCCAGTGTTTGTGAGAATTAAGAAAACATATGTGTCCAGCACATAACCCAGTACTTCAGCTGTCATTATTACTAAAATAATCACTCATGTTCTAATCAGAGTACAACTATCTGATTGTTCAAATAGCAGAAGACTTAAATCTTTGTGAAGTACTTATATTTTTCAGATGTTTTGGGGGATTTATGTTAAATATAAATGTTGATATTTTTAAAAATAAATGTTTGTGTTTAAACAGTTGCTAAGCCAACTTAAAGGAAATTTAGAAGAGGAAAATCGACATCTACTAGATCAAATTCAGACATTAATGCTACAGAACAGAACACTATTGGAGCAGAATATGGAAAGCAAGGATCTTTTTCATGTTGAACAAAGACAGTACATGTAGGTACCAAATAATCTTGCACTCTGAAATATTACTCATGATTTTATCATTGCCATACCTGATGGCAGAGGAAATGCAATGCTAATTTTTCTTGATTTTCAACATTATTATTTCGATATATATTTTTTTAATGTTTATGTTCTGGGCTAATAACCAGAAAAACTAACATAAAAACACATGGATCCTACTCTTAATGAACTATTAATATAAAGCAAGAAATACAAATAAATTCTGTAATGGAGGTGTGTATAGGAAACCATAGAAATACAGCAAATATAAGGGAAGGAATACCTTAGTCTGCAAGAGAAGGTGGACTTTCTAAAGATGATTGCTTGAGCTGAGACTTAAAGGTTCAGTAGGAGTTTGCCTAAGGAGGCATACCAGCCAAGAGAGCAGCAAATGCAGAAACAGGAGGTGTGATGAAAGTATATTATTACTGTGGTATAGGATCTAAAAATTAACTGTTCTTGCTGGAACAAAATTGAGGAAGGAGGAGTAGCAGAGAAGTGGCTAAACACTCAGGAGCCACTTGACAAAGGTTTTCTTTGCCGTACAAAAGACTTGCTGAAAAATTTGATCGGGGAGTAATGTGATCAGATTTGTGCTTTTTGTTTGTTTGATTGATTGATTGTTTGTTTAAACCACTGATGACATTAGAGTGTAGATTGGAGGTTCTAAGAATAGAGACAAGGACTAAGTTTTAAGAAGGCTGTTGCAATAATCTAATGAAAAATAATTCATAAGCAGTGGTAGTTGAGATCAAATATCAATACAAGAGAGATGTGAAAGATAGAATTGACAGAGCTTAATTATTGGTAAGTTGTTTCTCTGTTGAGAGTGTAGGAATCTGGTAAAATCAGAGATTTTGGCCAGGTTAGCTCAGTGGATAGTCTTTGTAATACACCATGATTCACCTTTACTAAATTCTTCTCTTCCTCTTGTTCCCTAAATGAGAAGCACCATAGTATAATAGAAATAGCACAGATGTTGAAATCAGACAGCTCCTAATTCAAATCCTAATTCTTCTCATTACTAGTTATGTGACTATAGACGAGTTACTTCATTTCGTTGATCATTGGTTTCTTTTTCTCTAAAATAGAGATATAACACCTACTTCCAGCATTATCCTAAGGCATAAATGAAATAATATGTGACTTTCAGACTTAACGTATATAATGGTGAGCTTCAGGGCACATTTGAAACCAGGATACACCATACATTTTTTTAAGTGGCAATTTTATTACAAAATTTGGGGAAAGAACATTATTTTTATATTAATACACAGGTATACCAAGGAGCAAAAGGTAGAGTTTGTGTGAACTTTTAAGGTAAATGTAAATTTCAAAGAAATTTCACATTTGTGGCTGGCCACTTTGGATCTTTAATCCTTTTGGCAGCATGTATGCCTTTACTCTCTGCCATAAGGGGTATTTTAGCTTAAGAAGCAGTGAGTGTATCTAAAATTTTAGCATTTAAGTTTCCTGTCCCTTAAGCAGAGGTATTATCCAACACTTTATCTTCTTAATATTATGACCTTTGGTGAATAATCCATTTCTAAGGTTTCAGTGATCGTATGTATACAGTTGACTTATAAATATTAGTACCTATTCTGACTTTTTGAATTTAAAATATCATCTTACATGTCAGACAGTTCTACCTGAATGCCTCTGTCACATCGTCCTAGTAGGAGTGACAGTGAATAAGTAGTACTGAGAATTTGGAGTTCCTGATGATATTTCAGCAGGTAAAAGGAGAAAAGAACTGGGAGGTATAGGCTGTGTGCTATTTGAGCTGTGGTATAACTAATGGCAACATCTATTCACAAAGTTCTTCTTCCATATAAACTCTCAAATCATTTCCTTCTATTTCGCACTACCCTAATTCTTCCCTCCCACTCAATTAGGCTACCCCCATTAGCATCCTGAATGCTTTCTTTACCTCCATCCTTTCTGATTATATCCTCTTCCATCACTGAGTTAAGGTATGTAAAGCATAGATTTTATAATGTCACATTGTAGTGAAACCTTCAATACTTCTGATTTTCTGTTAAGCTAAATCTAAACGTGAAACTCCCTCACTCCTTATTCTCAGCTCAGCTGTTTAATTTAGCATTTTTTATTTTTTGTGTCAGTCTATCTGATATGGCCTTTTTCTTCATGAGGCTTTCCTTGGTCATCCAAGATGGAAATATTTTCCCTTTTATAAGTTCCTTTGGTACTTCCATGGTACTTTTATTTTGTCATGACTACTATTTTGGATTATAACAGTCATTTGTGTATGTATCTTCTCTCTCCTACTGTACTATAAGCAGACCTGGGCAACTTACTATTCATCTTTATATACACCTCATGGCTCATGCCTTCCTCACTGTGAATGATCGCTAAATATTTGTTTAATAAATAGTATTCTTTGGCATCACAGTTTTCTTAGAGAGATCATTTTACTTTCATTTCCCTATATAATATATACTGTGAAGAACATAAAAATGAAACTAAGATGTGGTGAAGCTAGTGTATTCATGCATTCCTGGAGGCAGGAAATAATTCTCTACTAGTAAATTAAGGCTAAATAATTCTGCCATAAAGGAAAAAAATCTGTTTGCATGAAGATGTCATTGTAGGATTATTTATTGTATTTGTAACTGTTAAGCAAGCTATCCAACATTTTAATTTTTTGCCTATATAAATTATGATAAATCACCCATCATACCAAAAATGATTTGATATACTAAAGATCCAGAAATAGGGGAATAGTCAGTGTTGATATAATGTTGTTTAATAGCTGTAAAAAGATGTTGAGAGAATTCTTTTGTCATGATGATATTGTAATATGGAAGATTTTCTTCAAACAAAAATCCTATTGAAGAATTGAAACTTTAAGTCCTATGTCCTTTTATTTAAGTAAGTCGTAAATTTAAAGAAAATGAGAAACTTAGAAAAATTCCATTGTTACTACCTATTAAATTCTTAGTTGTCAACTGTGGTATCTGTATTTCTTTATGTTCTGGGGAGAAGTTAGATCATAGTCCCCAAATAATACCATTCATAACTGTACAAAATATGATGCATGTCCTTTTATTTTTATAGTGATAAGTTAAATGAATTAAGACGACAGAAGGAGAAATTAGAAGAGAAAATTATGGATCAATACAAATTTTATGACCCATCTCCTCCTAGAAGGTACTATTAACGAGGTTTATTTTCATTTTTATTAAAAAAAAAAAAAAACAGAAGCTTCTGATTTTGAGAGGGACTCATATGTTGAATGTTAGACTGATAAGAATTTTTTTAAATTATTTTTTAGGAGAGGCAACTGGATTACTCTAAAAATGAGAAAACTGATAAAGTCTAAGAAAGACATTAATCGGGAGCGTCAGAAATCACTAACATTAACACCAACCCGCTCAGATTCCAGTGAAGGATTTCTTCAGCTCCCCCATCAAGATAGTCAAGACAGTTCTTCAGTAGGTTCAAACTCTTTAGAAGATGGCCAAACTCTGGGGACCAAGAAAAGCAGCAGTGAGTGCTTAAACTCTTTAAACATTTGTGATCTCTAGTACTGATTTAGAATCCTTACTGAAGATTTCTTTTAAATAGCTTCCACAGTCCTTTGGGATAATAGTCTGATGAATGTGTTTCTTTTTAACTCCATATCATTTTAAAATTCATTGCCTACTGCAATACTGCATAACCACATGATTTTCTATATTGTGTATTTAGAGAAATACCATACACAGAGATACCATCATTTGGCCAGGGAGGTAAAATAGTACAGAAAGACCAGTGAAATGAGAGCCAGAATACCTCTGCCACTTGCTAGTCCTGTTAACATGGGCAAGCCTTTTACCTTTGTGTCATACTTCACAGGGCAATTTTGAGGAGCAACCGAGAAATATTTATAAGAGCTCATTTTCAAAAAAAAAAAAAAGAGCTCATTTTCAAAATTATTTATAACTTAATAATAAGGTTTTTTATAATGACGTCTCATTCATACTTTGATGCTGTCAAATTGGAGAAAAGTTACATTGTGGGGAAGCAAAGAAAAGTCGCTATGAATTTGAAGAGAATGTTATTCAATGATTTAGAAATAGTTTAAGGTTATAAAAGTTATTGAGGGATTGTTTGGTAAAGGTTCAATGAAAATAAAATAGAGATATAAGTTTGTGCATAAACTTGCGATTTAACTTTTTAAATTAAAATGTAGAAGTATAATATCATAACGTGCCCTATACAATTAATACTCTCTTGATTTCATTATTAGTGCACTTTGCTAAACATCAAGAGCAAAGTAAAAGCCTAAAAAAGTGTATTTTAAGAGAAAGAAAAGAATCCAGTGGTAGGCCCTTTGAAGATATACAAGAATTTGACTACTAGCAATGTTCTTATAAAATATGTAAACAGGATACTATGAAGCCACTCACACTATAACCAGAATCACTAAATTTAAAAGTATATGTATGTATATATGTTTACACATATATAAACATATATACATATAGTAAACTATATATGTGTGTATGTGTATGTGTGTGTATATATATATATATATATATGAATTTCAGTACTATTCTTCTGAAGTATAGTATAGGCAAAAACAGCTACTACTTCCCCCAGGGGTAGACTCTCCATATGGGCAGCTCTCAAAACACTCAAAAAACTATATAGATGTTGTTTTGTCCTCAGGGGAATTATCTCTGAAAAAACAGTATTTTAGAGCGTAGGAAATTAGACATTCATTATAGGCTATATTTCAGAATGCAACTATAGCACCCTATAAACTAGAATCCACAAGTAAGCAACAAAAAATCATACACATACCTGAGTACATATTCATATATACATACATACATATGTACAAGTGTGTGTGTATAAGAAAGTGGTTTAATTCTGTATATCCATATAAGATTAGTCTTGTCAGCCAAATCTACATGAAACCTGTGAGTATGGTAGAGAGATCATCAAGTTTTCCTTAAAAAGGTGCCAGATGATTCAATTTTATCTGCTACCTTTGAATATAAAATATCTTAGATCATATTTAATGAGAAATGGTCATGGGTATACTTAATTTTTTTAATTAAAGGAAGATATTTCAATTCTGATATGAAAATATACAAAAGAAAGGCACAGTCTTTTTTGAGGTAAGCTTGTTTGTTTCAAATATAAATCTGTCATTCCTTCATACTCTCTGCTGAAACATCCAGAGTAAGAATCAGAAGGAAGTAATATTCTCCTTTCCAGCAGTTGTTCAGTTTTAGAATTTTAAAAATAAACGCAAAACCCAACCATTCTAATGTTCCCTTAATTTCAATATAGTTTGGGAAGAGAACATTGTATATCTTGCAAACTAATTGCCATAAGAAGGACCACATTCCACCACTGGCAAATTTAAAACTGCTTTTATCCTGTCCCTTTTGGATGAGTGCCTGTCAGTAAAGCAGTCTATGGAAAACAGTTGAAAACAGGAAAAGAAAGTATCTAAACAAGACAGTGTGTGCATGCTGCAACCACTCAGCTTTGTTTTAGCTAAGTGTCCATTTTTACATTGCTTTCAGTTCATTTCTTTTTAATCATTGAAAACAGCTGTGTTTACCAAGCTAGAAATGAAATAAAAGCTTAAATGAATCATGACTATTCTTAATAGCCATCAAATAAATAAGTTAAAAAGCTGTATGTCCTTGCATTCTCCTTAATGAGTGATACTCGTCAGTTTGTCAGAAGAGCTTTTTATTATTTATAAGATGATAGCAAACCCTGAGAAACAGCATAGTTATTAAGGCTGTGTACAGTATGCTTTTAAATCTTGATGTGAGTTTTTCCCCTAGCTCTTAAATTGCAGTTCCAAAAAGGTGTAACAGTTTTTCGTATTAAAATCTTCTTAAAGTGTAGCTTAAGAATGTTAGTGACTCTAGTGAACATTTTAATTTTTATGTTAACAACTCCTACTGTAGTATAACCCTAATTTTCCTTCATATAATTTTCCTGCATAGTGCTACCTTTGATTTTTTTTAATAACCCTAAAAGCCCTTTAAAATATCTAAAAATGTTATAAATATTTTTCTGTCATTTTTGCTTGCTTTAGGTTACCTCTTTATCTTTTAGGCTTATCAAAGCTTAAAAGCTACTATCAAAATACTGTTTTTTCTTTCTCGCAGCCAACCTTTTGCAAAATGAAATTAATATAATTGTCATCTCTTGAAAGACTTCTCTTAGAAGAGTATATATTTCTGTGGTGCTGCTAAATAATGCACCAGAATTCAGTTTAAACCAAGAAGTAATTCCCTATTTTCTTTTTTAAAGTTTAAGGAAATAACGAAAGTTTTTTTAAGTTTCTTTAGATTATTTTAAATATCCCCTAGTTTTTGTTGAGGCATTTTACTAATGCCTGTACTAAAAATGTACAGGATGTACATTTTTCTGAATTACTTTTTTTTCAAAATAAAATCTTACAATTTAAAAAGTTAAAGAAAGCCTGAAAGCCTTCTACATTTTCATCATGTGTACTCTGTGATCCACCAATAATGGCCCTAATAATAAAGGTGTATCTTTACAACTTAACTAGGAAAATTGTTCCTTCTGTAAGTAGTTCTAATCAGTTCCTATATTTCTAGGACTTTAGTCAATCCAAGCTTTCAAAGTATATGTTTCTCATCATTGTCTTCAGTGCTTTTCCAAGTATTTTAAAGTATCAAAGTACATATTTCATATTTCATTATCACTCAGCAGCACGAGAATAATAGCTTTAGTATAGTTTACATAGCTGAAGCTCAGACATTCATTTCTGTCCTTAATTTCAACATTTAACTCCCATCTGTTCTTCTCCCTTTTTTCTTTCATTTTTCTGTTTCTGTTTTTCCTCATGCTCTGACATTAAAGTGGTTGCACTGAAAAGACTGCCCTTTTTGAGGAACAGACCGAAGGATAAAGACAAAATGAAGGCCTGCTACCGTCGTTCCATGTGTAAGACTTTATGACAGTTCAGCTTCTTTCAAATGACTACACTGGCTTCCATTACTAATTTTTCACTAACCATTCTTTGGACTGTGCCAATTTTCTTATTTTGCAAAGTGCAGTCTTCCTGTAATACAAGGAGCTGGAAGAATATTTTTTTCATAACTGGCACTGAATTTGCATTATATGTATGTTCACTTATACATATACATGCATATGTTTAGTCATACATGTAATATACTTGGAAATTTCCAGTACTTTCTAAAGGTTGGCAGAAAAAAACCTTTAATTTTATATGCCATAGAGATTTCTTCCCAAAGAAATTTACTTAAAGAAAATATAACAAAACCTTTAGCATTAGGTATTTAATTTCTTAATGAACTAGGATTAAATAATTAAATAAATAAAGTGGCCTGTAACCCTTGAGAATGTTTGTCATTCTTTATATAATAATACTCTGGTTTTTTCTTTTTTTAAGTGGAATGGGTAATTACATAATCACATTAAATGTCTGTCACTTTGGATATCCTCTCTTTCAGGTTTTTATTGAATGGTATACTTATTTGATTCATAAAATGAATAATTTCTTCAGTAATCTGCTCTGACCAAGGACTGTTTATCATTTTCAATAGTGATGCTGTAAAGAACTGCTCTCCATATTACCTTTATTCATTCCATTTTTGTCACCACAGAACCACATTATGAAGGCTTCTAATTATATTGTACATCACTGCTCAAAAGCATGGCAGTTGTACAGAGTAAAATTCCTTTTCCTATCTTTAAAGGGGGTGGAGGGTGATGAAAACATTTATTGAAGTTTATCAGCCTTCGGCCTACTCATTTCATTCAGCTGAATGCATGTCATAATTCAAATGACCTTGTGGTTAGTTTTTTATTTTACTTGCATTAATCCATAGACAAAAGTCAGATCATTTTTAATACAAAGTAGAAATAAGAGCAAATACATTAACCATGCTGATTCATTTGCTTTCATTTGCATCCCAGCCATGAATGACCTGGTGCAGTCCATGGTCCTAGCAGGAGGACAGTGGACAGGTAGTACTGAGAATTTGGAGGTTCCTGATGATATTGCAACGGGTAAAAGGAGAAAAGAATTGGGAGCTATGGCCTTCTCTACTACAGCCATCAACTTTTCAACTGTCAACTCTTCTACAGGCTTCAGATCCAAGCAGTTGGTTAATAATAAAGGTATAGGCCGTCTGCTATTTGCACTGTGGTGTAACTGTTGGCAACAGGATTTTTAATTTGACTTTCCCGTGTTTACTTTTTTGACAGCAGCAACCTGAAATAATGATCAAAACAATCTGGATTTGATCTGAGGGAATTTTCAAATCATTTCAAAAATTTAAAACATCGTACAAATAACTAAAATCTTTCCTAGGCCTTTCATAATAAACAGATAATGAACTAACAAGAAATGGAAAAGTAAACCAAGTAAAAGAATGAGAAAAGGAGAGAGTGATAGAAGCTTTAAAAAAAAAAACACAAAAAAAACCTAGAAACACTATAGCATCACAGAGAACCACATAGAGCAACCCAGGCTCCTGCTTTGATTTGCAGGGTCACAAGCAGATTGTTTCAGTGCTTCTGGTGTTTTCCCTAAGCAAGTCAACTCTCATCAGAGCTATTCTGTTTCTTACTTCTATTCGTTTCTGATGGAATCTATGAAATATGTTAAATCAAGATGTATTATACATGGTTGAAAAAGAATTTCCATATTCTGCATAAATAAAATTTTATAATTTTTTTGTTAAAAATATTTTTATATTCATTTTGCTATTTTATGTAGATACTACATCCTTTGAAGACGTAAGTCCACAAGGTATTAGTGATGATTCTAGTACGGGATCAAGAGTTCATGGTAAGATATGAACTTTATTTAGAGAGTACATATTACATACAGAATGAGAATGCTAAGACTCTTGCATTGACCTGCTGAATGTAGCACTGCCAGCAAGCATGTTTTCTCTAACCTGCATCTCATAGCTACCTCTGCTATTTCTTCAAACCTACTACCCGCTTTTGCCTTTTTTAAGGTTATTACTTCATCCAAATTGTCTCTGTTTTCATCAAGGTCATTTATAAAGTATGCCTGCACAATGCTCAAAGGTAATTTTGTTGCCATTTTGGCATAAGGTTAAAGTGATGAGATACATTTTATGTTTGATTTTAAAAATACTCACTTTGGCAAAGGACAAACTCTAAGAAACCACATTTTCTGCAATGTTGAGCATTTCAGAGTTTTTAGTTTCTATCTGGAAAGTCATATCTTACCAAACTAAATTAACAAATAATGGATAACGGAATTTCATATGTAAAGGAATATGTTAAAGGAATTTCATATGTAAGCAGGACTTTAAGACGTAGGATAGGGCCATGTTAACTGTGCAATTGTTTCCCTTGTATGGATAGGAATACAGGACATTAACTGTGCAGATGCTCATATTCCTCCTGTTCGTGGCATCTCTGCAATGTGCAGGGTTCCTTGTCTGATCTGTTGTAAGTGACCTAATCACCAGTTTTTTTTTTGGCCGGGGCGGGGCATGTCATTCTGTTCAACTAAAACAGTCCTGGTATCCATCTAGAAATCCATTTCCAAATCTAATTATGCACTTTTATCTTCTTTTCTTTGAATCTCAGCTATTGTCTGAGAAGTGTCCTGTTCTCAGCTGTTTAACTGAACTATCTGGAAATGCCTTTCCTCTCTAATCTGTAAGATTCAACTCTCTGTGGGCATGCTCAGCCTGTGAAAGTATGCATGATTGCTTCCTCAAAGCATTCTGTAATCAGAATGTAAAGTTCATTGTCTTCAGCTGGAAGTTTTATCACTGTCTCCTGATTTTTTCATTTAGCTTCGAGACCAGCCAGCCTTGATAGTGGCAGAACATCCACTAGCAATAGCAATAATAATGCTTCACTCCATGAAGTCAAAGGTATGCTGTAGGTAAATTTATTAATATGCTCCATCCATTTCCAGATTTAAAAGTGGGAGATTGATGAAGTTTCTGGGGTAAAGTATGAAATCCAAATCATTCTGTGTTTGGAACATAGTTCCTTGGAATATTTTATACTTTTCACATTGCAATACAAATGTATTTCAATGTGTACAAATGTAAAAACAGGAGCAGTTATTTTAGTTTCCATTTTTCATCCTCACAGATAAAATCTTTTTCTTGTAATCTTTATATTTCAAAATATCTATAGGTTCCTATTTTACTTACATTTTGTCATTGTCATGAAAGTGGTTGTCCTTAACTTTCTCATGATACATGTACATTGAACTCACAGAAGGTGTTTTAGAAATAGTTTTAGCTTTTCTTATCCATGAAATAAGGAGGAATATATTTTTTTAATTTGAAAAGACAATTGTGTGTGTGTGTGTGTGTGTGTAAGTGTAACAAGAGCCAAATGGGTGCATAGTTCATATAAAGAATTAGTTCAAGATATCTTTTTCCTCAATTTTTTAATATGCATTCCAAGGTGAAATTTTTATGTAAATGTCTGGAAGTATTGACTAACGCCTTTTTCCTTAAAGGTATACTGCCTACTCATATTCTGGAATTATTTAATAGATTATAAAGGTTTGTGAAAGTAGTTATTCTCTACAGTCCAGATTTGTTAAATTATAATGAGTGCATTTGTTCTGTTGCTTTTTCATATTATAAAATCATTTTGTCTCAGTTGTGATTATATTTTATTATTAATGCTTTGACTTTGTTGCAATGATCTGAAAAATCTGATTTCAAGGAGGGATTATTTTTTCATTTTTATAATCATGTTTTTATATCCTGTAGAAAAATATAGTCTGAAATGTAAGTAAGTCTTTTCTGATTTGAAAATTTAAGAAAATCTTTTTCCTGTAAAATGTTACATAGCTTGAGCCAAAATCTTTCCTGACCCATTTTATTCTCTGTGATTAGGAAACCATGGAAAGTTGCATTTTCTATCTTGATGCTGTATCTACACAGTTTGCAATGGATCAAAATGAATAAGCACTGTTAAGGAATAGCATAAACTTTAGGGAGCTTTTTTCCAGAACTAGTAATTTGCATTCTGTATAGTTGTTCAGCCTCAACCAAGTCTTTGAAAGCTGTATAGCCACCATACCAACAGTGGAAAGCAGGGAGAATCAGATGATTCAGACATTAAAAAATAAAATACTACATACTTAATTTTATATTTTTACTGGAATTTTCTAAGTAATTACATGTCTCCATCTGAGTTTCCTTAGATGCTTGCTGTTTAAATTTTTTTAATATTTCTTTAAGATTATTCATTTAGGATCAACAAATAAACCTTCAGATAAGGAATACAGACCTCATAGAAAGTCAAAGAATTAGAATTTTTAGCATTTGGAAGAGTTTTTGGTTTTAACATTTTCAAATAATTAAAAATTTGTCTAATCATGTTTTGTTTTAAATTGTGAGGTGTTTTACAATTATTTGAACCTGACTTTTAAAAAATGTATTATTTCCTTGTTTATTCATTCATTTACTCATCAAATGTATTGAGTGCCTGCTTTATATGTTTAGGCTGTGGGTATGGTGGTGATGGCAAGTCTTTGCCCTGTGGAGCTTATAATATTTGTCAACTTGACAAATAAGGAAGCACACTATGGTAAACATTTGTTAGACTGATGAGAGATGAACATGGTTTACTAAGCATTTCTGAATAAAGCTTTGAAAGTCAGTTTGGCTATTCGTAAGAATCCAGTCAACAAATGTCAGTACTTACATAGTTTTAATCTCATTTCTATTATTGAACTCTTAACACACCATTTACTCCAAAAGCAGGTGCAGTTAATATCCAAAGCAGGCCACAAAGCCACAGCAGTGGAGAATTTAGCCTGCTTCATGAGCATGAGGCGTGGTCCAGCAGTGGTAGCAGTCCAATCCAATACTTGAAAAGACAGCCCAAATCAAGTCCAGTGCTCCAGCACAAAACACTAGAGAGTCGAGCACATCACAAGGTCAAAACTGGTTCCCCTGGAAGTGAAGTTGTTACTCTACAACAGTTTTTGGAAGAAAGCAACAAGCTTACCTCAATACAGGTTAGTTTTATCTATGGTGACCTTAATTTAGATGGACACTACAAGTTAAATTTCTATGGTTGAACTTTAGAGCTTTTTTTTAAGGAGGGTTTAGAGATATTAGCAATTTTTGTATTGTACAGTCTAGTGTATCAGGAAAGTAAAAGCATGGCTGTATTCACTATTCTGCTTTGATTTTTTTTTTTAAACAGATAAAGCCCTCAAGTCAAGAGAATCTTTTAGATGAAGTAATGAAAAGTTTGTCTGTCTCTTCTGACTTTTTGGGAAAAAACAAACCAGTTAGCTGTGGTCTGGCCAGGTCAGTAAGTGGAAAAACTCCAGGAGACTTCTATGATAGATGGACAACTAAGCCTGAACAATTTGTGAGACCTGGTCCTCAAAAGACTGAAGATACCTATTTCATTAGTTCTTCTGGAAAGCCTACACTAGGCACTCAAGGAAAGATAAAAGTAGTAAAAGAAACTTCTCTGTCACGACAATCAAAAGATAGTAATCCCTATGCCACTTTACCTCGTGCAAGCAGTGTGATCTCTACTGCCGAAGGAACTACTCGAAGGACGAGCATCCATGATTTTTTGACCAAGGACAGTAGACTACCTATGTCAGTTGATTCACCACCAGCTACTGCTGATAGCAGCATCACTGCAGCATCTAGTGAGTACCGTTTACACCAGTGGTCCTCTCATCCGCTTCACAGTCCAACTTATGCTGTAGGTTCTCAAGCACAAAATGATTTAGCTACAGACAAGCCCACGTCTCCATATGCCCAGGCCAGAAACTCAAGAACAGAAAGGTCACATTTTCTAAACCAAACTTTTGCCACTGTTAATATGTCTAATGATGCATTTGGAATATCAGCTAAAGATAGCATAGACTCATTTACTGTGGCTTATCCATCTCAGCCATTTTTATCCCTGAATACACAATTAGTTAGTAACATAAGTGGGCTACCTCCCAGACCAGTCACCAGGCTAACTGACCAGGCTTCTGCTTCTTTGGATGAAGCTGCACAGAAGGATACTGAGCAGTTTTCTGATCATCAGAACTGCAGTAACAGTAACCCACAGTCTTCTGTAGTTAGCAATAATCTTATCACTCCTGCATGCCTCTATCCTGATGACACAGAAGCTGCATTGTTGGTTTCTGAGGATAATCAAACTGTTTGGTATGAATATGGTTGTGTATGATCAAAACTGCACAATATAATACTGATGTCATTTGATATGCACTGTGCTTCTCTAATCTGATTTGAAGAGCTGCTGTTGAAAAGTATCATTTGGCTAGGTTTATACTTTTATTTTTAAATTGTGGATAGTGTTCAGGTGTACATTGTGGCATGTATATAAATGTGATTATGTAACCACAACAGAGCTTGCATGAATTATTAATTGCATTGTACATTTTTTGCATGACTTTAAGAACCTTAACAATACATGCTCCTCTTTGACATTTCTTGTCACCTAATAAGAGATTGTTACTTTGATACCTAGAGGCATGTTAAAATGGCTGCATGCTATAATTACCAACAAGGCATTTCCAAGTCATATTTACTTCATTGGTTCCAAAAAAGAATGCTCATTGTCTCTCTCCCTCCCTTTGCTCCCCTTTTCCTCTCTCCCTACCTCTCTTCCTCTCCTTTTTTTTTTTTTTTTACAAAATGTGCACTTCATATTGCGCATGTACAGTATTAGTAAGGAAACTATGTTAAAAAGATGTCATTTTCTTTTGCCATTTAATTATGCCTTCTGGCCTGCTGTTTTATTTTCAAAGAAATAGTTATTAACTACTCATATTTATAAAATTGTTCAGATTTAAAACTTTGTTAATACTCATAAATTTAGCGTAATTCTTTTTTTTAAAAAAACATCAAATTTAAATGTGACATACAGGGACTAGGAGTATTTGTATTCTATTTCTTCTCTGCACTTTTCTTCATTTGATAAATATAAGAGCTCAAGTACTATCTTTCCTTCAAGATGACTTTTTTACTTGGCATCAGTTAACACAGTAGTTTTTTTCAGGTTTTTTTTAATATAGAATCAAAGAGAAATAAAGCAAATCATACTCAGTGTGTGAGAAATTTGCATTTTTACTTCTGTTCAAAAAGGGTAGCACGCTTATAAAGTGGTGAAAATTGTTACTTATATAATTCTATAATTTATTTATTACTAAATTATATATGTCCTTAAAACAGAATTTTCTAAAATGAGTACATTGTGCTAAAATAAAATGCAAAATTAGTATTTGTAATCACTTAAACAAACAAGTATGATTTTAGTAGAACAAATTTTAGAATTAAGAATAAATGCAAGCTCTTAACTAAAAATTAATCATAAAAGATAGAGAAAATATTTGCTAACTCTGACTTATGTCATAAACTTTAAAATTATCTTGCTGTGGTCATAGCACTTTTAAAGCAGAATCAGCTAAACTTCCATTGTTTTATTCCAGAATAAAAGAAACCCCAAGAAACCCATAACCCTGAATCACTTACTTCTAGAGAAGTATATCTTAGTTCTGTCTCTGAAATGTTTTTGCCATCTTGATTCAGCCTAAGTATTACTGACAGTCATGCAGCCTGGCATCTAGAAGAAATGGGGAGGAAATTATTATTTTACATGTTGTATTAAATTGTTATTAATTGGGCAAAAGAAAACAAAATTTATAGAGAATCTTTGCTTAATGAAATGTGTATCCTGGCAATTCCCTGGCGGTCCAGTGGTTAGGACTCCACGCTTTTACTGCTGAGGGCCCAGGTTTTATCCCTGGTCGCAAAACCAGGAATCCCTGATCCCGCAAACCGTGTGGCACAGCCAAAACTTTTTAAAAAAAAGAAAGAAGGAAAGACATTTGTATCCTTTATAAATTAAGCTATTCTCTTCTTTTCTCATAGCCAGCTCTTACTAAAAATGCTTTTAATGTGGGTAATCAAATAAACACAATCAGAAATTTTTCATATTTTTTAGTATCTACATGAATACATCAGTCTGTTTTGTTGTCACTTGTTTCATAATCAGTCCGAACATTTCAAATGTTTTTGGTGTCCCTGTTTGCATAACCTGATAATAAAACTTAATGGTAAATATAGGTGAGATTACATGGGGCCATATATGATACAAATGTAATAATTAGTGTAATTTCCACATTTAGTCAAAGATTATTTCACAACCATTTCAACTTTTTAGATAAGTCTGGCCTTATACTCTGTTTAAAATATTAAATTTATTTATAAAAATATATTGAGAAATCATATGCTATTATAGTAAAAACTGATTATTTTAAAATATTAGACTTACAGGAAAGAAGTATTTCTAACCCAAATGGCTATAGTTATATATACAGCATGTTTTCCAAAAGAACATACACACTGTGCATGTGAGACAGATAGATACATACCATGTCCATGTGTCTTGATGTCAAAGAATACAGGTTAGACTTCCTCCAGAAACTGTCACCAGCTGTAGAGTCATAAAATTCCCCCCAAACACTATTTTACCTGTGTTTCTTGATAGCACTTGAAATCAAATTTTTAGCAGTGAGAAGAACCTTAGAAATCATATAGTTAGTGTTTCCCAAACTTTAAAAAAATCAACGTAATACTTTCTATGAATGAAGTCTTACAAAGATGCCCCAATTTAAAAAAAAAAAATTTTTTTTGAGATAAAAGTGAAGCAACTCTGACTCAGTTGAACAGCTGCACTTTTTTTCCTCCAAGACAGCTCCATAATACTCTAGCGGCTTCACAGATTACAGGCATACCTCGTTTTATTGCACTTTGCTTTATTGTACTTAACAGATACTGCATTTTTTTTACAAATTGAAGGTTTGTGGCAACCCTGTGTTGAGCAAGCCTATCGGTGCCATTTTTCCAAAAGCATGTGCTTACTTCGTGTCTCTGTGTCACATTTTGGTAATTCTCAGACTATTTCAGACTTTCTCATTGTTATATTTGTTATGATGATCTGTGATCAGTGGTCTTTGATGTTACTATTGCAAAACGATTATGACTTGCTAAAGGCTCAGATGATGGTTAGCACTTTTTAGCAATAAAGTATTTTTAAATTAAGGTATGTACTTTGTTTTTTAGATATAATGCTATTGCACACTTCATAGACTACAGTACAGTGTAAACACAACTTTTACATACATTGGGAACTAAAAATTCTTGTGACTCGCTTTATTGCAATATTCACTTTATCACAGTGGTCTGGAACCAAACCTGCAATATCTCCGAGGTATGCCTGTATTAGTACCGCAGTTTTAGATGAAATTGAATAGCTTTCATATTCCTAGCTTAGATTTCTAGAAATTACACCCTTATTATTTGTGACATTGTAAATTTATATTGTTAGGCATTGGGTCCCCTTTGATCAAAGCAATTTTAGTTCTAACAGTGTAAGTAGGTATGTTATTTGCCAATAAAATATGCCTCGAGCCCTGGTTTTCTTAGTAAATAATACAATTATTTCATTGTGGATGTTTCTGCTGCTGCATGCAAGATTATTTTTTACTTTAAAACTATATGTGACCATTTAGTTAAATAAGCATAGTAAGTAAACCTATCTGACACTAAGAGGGCATAAGTATATTACTTAATAGCTTTTAAAATATAAAAATCAGTCTTTAAGTAAAGAGATGTCTATCAGATTAATAACATTTCCAGAGTTAGATTCCTTCTCCTTGCCCTACTCAACAAGAGCTCTTTAGTTTCTTACCTTCATGAATTGTATTCTGTTTAGCCTTTCATTAAATAACATGAAATGCTTTTCTCCTGCAGATGTGGACAAAGTACAAGAAAGCAGAAATTCAAAAAGCAGGTCTAGGGAGCAACAAAGCTCCTAATTCTATTACCCACTACATGACATGTGGGCCAAGTGGTGAGTTTCTTGCTTAAAATGTAAATGAGATTAATCTCATTTATACAAACTAACTGCATTAAGTATAAGAACAAGTGCACATTGCATTAACAGATGTAAATATTGCTTGCTTTAATTCATGACTTTCTGTCTTACTAGTAAATCAAGATTAGGTGAGTCCCAAAAGATTTTGCCCATCAGTGCAGGAAACCAATCTTTAAAAATTATTTTTCTTTTTTCCCCTCAATTTAAATTTGATTTTACTAATGAGTAATGTTTTAGAAATTATTTTCAGTTTGAAGTCTTTCTTTGTGGTAGGAATACAACTTCTGTGCAACATTCTTGATAATTGAGGAGAATAAACTAAATGCCTTTTCTATGAAGAGCCACTCAAAAAAAAATTGTCTCTGACTTTCTGTCACTCTCATCCCTATAGAAGTTATCTGGTGCATGCTGTTCTTTTAGTGGTTGCTCTGTATTTTATATCTCTTATCTTCAAGCTTTTCTTATATTTTCTTTCTTCTTTCTACCTTCCAACTAAATACAGAGAGAAAAGTGTCCTTCAGTTTCTCAGTGTGAAGCCTTTATTTCTGAAGTAACAAGACACCCAACTATAGGAATCACTTTTTAAAATCTTTAAGACTTTAACAATCCTTCGTGACTAGAGCAGGAAAGAAATACAAACCTTCATTCCTTCCTTGAATCAAGGAGCACTACTGGAGTCAACTGCCAAAATTTTTAGAAGGTTTTGTGACTTACTGTACATTGTACTGTTAAGATCTACTGAATAAAGGATGTTCTCTCACTAAGGACCAAGTGTTTTAAGGTTTCAAGAAGTACTCCAAGAACAATATACTTCTTTCATCATTTGTTTATGAATTTATCCATGTTTGCTTAATGCTTCTGCTAAGTATTAGTCTAAATCTAGCCATTTATATTTAGTTGTGTAAACCTAAATTAAATGCTGTAGTATGTTGTGGGATGTACTATATATCAAGATACAGAGAACATTGTTTTGGCATGTCAGAGCCTTATTTGGTTAGCAGACTGCATGTGTTGGTATTCTTTTTTTTTTTAAGCCTATTATTTTGATGCACTGCAAAAGAAATTCAGTTTATGAGATAACTCTGAAAAATCCATAATAAGATAGGAGTTATAAAAAATTTACAGTGATATTAATCTTTCCGTATCCCCCACTAGCAACACTAAGCAATTCACACATGGATCTAAGGTAATTAAAGTGTGTTTTTCTGAAACTTTTTTTTTAGTAAGATGGTTTTCTAGAAAATGGCATTCCCAAGATAAAGCTGTTGTGTTTGAACTCATTTCCCTCCTTTAGTACTGGGTTATGTATGTGTTTGTTTTTTTAACTTGAGAGCTGACTGTTGCTTAAGAAGTTTTCTTATGGCAAAAATAATGTAAATAATTTACTATGATCTGCATTTTGCCAGGAACTCATTTATTATTAAGGTTATCACTTATTAATAAAAATCTTTCTGTTTTTGTCCTTTATAATACATTAAAGTTGGTAACTGTTATCGGTACTTTTGAAATATTTGTATGCATTTGTTACCTTAAACATTTGAAAGAAGCACAAAAAAAAGGTAAATTTAGTCAACCCAGGGAAACATCAATTTTTTTGTAGTTCCAATTTTATATCACAGTTTTATTTTCTTATGAAGTCAAAAAACTGCATTGATACTTACTAATGCAAATTCATTATTTAACAAATATCAGAATAATCTTAAAGGTCTGAAATGAGAAAGATACTAACTTTTTAATTTTAACAATATACTTCTTAGGCTCTCACTACCAGCTCTAAAAATCTTTTTGGAATAATTCCATAGTGTGTGGTTTATGAACTGTGTGTTTCATCACTAACCTAGTAGCCATGAGATACATGTCTCCCTCTCTCCCTCCTTCCTCACACCTTTCTTTTTTTTCTTTCTCTTTCTGGTAGGCCAGTAACACTGCTGTGTTCATAGTCTACTTTCAGAAAGACCATTAATGAAAAACAGCATGTATAGTTGAAAAGAAACTGAAATGGAAGTTAGAGAACCTGGACTTCATAATGCCACCATTAACTTAGGTTTTGCCACCAAGTAATGCTGTAAAGTTAAATCACTTTTAAACCCTTGGATGAAAGGTGCTATGTAAATGTAAATACAAAGGATTCTTACTAAAATACAAATATTGCACAACAGACATATTTAAAACCTATTCTCTAGACTTGGAAACATGTCTCCATCATGACTCCCTAGATTCAAGTATCAGACTGATAATGGGTATCATGGCAGTCTAGAGACACTTGCATGTAAAAAATGTAAATTCATCTTTAGGTGGATAAATTGAAAGTAAATATAGAAATTATGTTTTAGCTAAATACAGTGAGTGGGTAACTTAGATTTATATTAACTAGCATCTAATTTGCACAACTAGGACACATTCCAGGACATTTACTGAAAGTTGAAATTTAATGAGTAGGAGGTAGCCCAGTGAGGGTGTATGATATCACAGCTTGGTCTCTACAGGACACTAATATCCTAAAATAGAGAACATGCTGACTGAGGCAGCACATTACTGCTTCAATTAGAAAATGCTAAAGGGTAGCCTATAAAGTACTAAACCTGAGTGGGCTGACCCTGAGAAAATGCAGCAAGACAACCAAGAGAATACTTGAGACTGCAAAAGTGGAATATTCTAATTATATTAATCACCTTTTTCATACCATTTCAAGAAAGGATTAGATAACCCATGAATATTTTACCATCTCCAAAAGATACCATCAGAAGCAAACTTAGTATGAAGTCATGCTTTTCCCTTAGATAAACCACTTCTGCCAAACAAAATAGTGTAGCCAACTAGAAACTAACTGGGGCCACTTTCCGGACTGGGGCCTGACATGCTTTTAATGATCTGGCTCTATTCTAAATCAATACCCAAACCCCCTCGGAAACTAAAGAATTTATATACAGGGTAATAGCTTCGGCCCAGAGCTCCAATAAAGTGCTTCAGATCTGGCAATGTGGAAATGTTCGGTCCAAGTTTTTGAACTGGTGGTTACCAAAGAGTACACAAAACAGGTTTGTATGTAGCACCTTTCATGCAAGGCATGGTAAAAGCCTATTTAAAAATCACTGTGCATATTACGGAATTGCAGCCACCTCACAAATGAAGTATTACAGCCTGCACTGTCTTAAAATTTTATGTCAGGAAGTGAAAAAGATATTGTACCAAATCTGGAATTACAATGAGGAGTAATAATGTATGCTAAATGACTTGTATTTTAAGTTACTTTTTATGAGAAAAGTGAAATTTTGTGTTTTCTTTTCTGCTACACTTAGTCTTGAGATGTATTTTTTTCTTTAAGCCTTGAATGAATAATACAAAAGGAGCCCATTTTATAATATAAACCTTGATGTACATGTTGAGATATTTGGACAAAGAAAATGCCTTAAAAGGAATGCTTATGGATAAAGTTGCACTTACAACACCTTTAACAAAACGTGATTTCAAATTGTCTTTTTCTTTTCTACTAAGGGTTCTCTCTTTCAGTGTTTGCCATTGTACTTGTAACTGTTATTAAATATCAAATCCAATAATA